ATTATGAATCTCACCCAATATTCAGTTGATTGGAAAGTTTCGCAATTTTCCAACCCTTTATATGCATTAAATCGTATGTACGAGTATATGTTGAATCCAAACATAAAATGCATAAATCCAGCACTAGGTAATTCTTTTAACTACCAGTATCCCTATGCTACTTTTGCTATTTTTCAGTCAATATTGTCAGCTTACTTTTAAGCATTTAACATCTCCTCATTAATGAAACTCGTATGTGGTTTCGAAAGAGTACAATTTATAAATGCTGTAATATAACATATGGGGGGGGGGCTAAAGAAAAATCATGTCTGGAAGTGACATTTAAGGGAGTTGAGAATTCAAATGGAACGTCATTAGGATAAAGAACATGTAAGCGCCTTTGAAAAAGAAAACCTTGTTGCACTGGTTGAATTGGTATTATCTTCGCTATAGCCAGCAATTAAAAGTACAGATATAAAAGTAGATATTTCTTGATTTACCAAATTTGTACATTTTTAATTTACATTCATATGAGTATTATATTAAAATAAACACTTGTGTTAAAACTTGACTTAAAAAAAAGAATATGCTTATTTTTTTATTTCGTGAGTATGTTTTAAAACTAATTTTGTATGATTATTACAGTACTAAGGCATGTTATTAAAGAACTAATTTTTAAAAAATTGTTGTAAAAAATTCGTGTCGAAAACTGAAAAAGAGGGCAATGTTAGTTTTTTGAAAATAAATAATGCAAATTTTAGCAACATTCAGAGGATTCAGAGGAGTAAAGTATAGAACAAAAATGGTTTGAAAATTAATAAACAAAGTTGTTATCTATTCCTATGTTGCCTTACATTATACAAGAGTTTGTTCAGTTTTTAGATTAAACACTCATCGGCAGTGTCTTCATTTAAATAAAAATTACAAGTAAAACAATCCTCAATTCATGGGTCATTGTGTTTTTAAGTTAGGAATACGTTTCCTACATATTACTAACAATATGATAATTCTAATGTTTTTAGAATTTTAACTTTTAGTCTGATGTTAAAAGTTTTAAAATTGTCAGAGTGTATTTGTGTATTTATTACGGTGTTGTGTGTTGCGCCTAAGCTCTGATCTGCGGCTTACTGTCATAGCCACTTACATAAGCAGCCCGCTCAAAGCTACTTAATTATTTAGCCGTTGCATACTGACCGAGTGGTCAACCATTGAAATGCTCGGAGACCTGTAAGTGTCGCGCCCGATTGGAACTTGTGATTTCAGCTCTTTTGTATGCGAGTGCATGTGTATTTGAAATTTCTTAAAGCGTTTGCCAATAGCTGCATTGCTTAAAACATTGCCAAATTGTTGGCATAAAAACTCATTTTAGCCATTAACGGCGTCTGACAGTAACAAGAGCATCGAGCCAACCAACCAGCAAGAAGAGTTTCCAACGGTTGATCGGTAGTGGAGAGGGGGTGGCGAAGGAGCGAAGCAGCAAAGTAGCAAGCCAGCTGAAAATGATACGCAGCTTCAAAAGAGGAAATGACAGCCATTTCCATTTTCTGCTACTATATACAAGCAAGTGAGCAGCAGGAAGAACAGCAGCGACGGCGCACAGTGACGCAAATTGCAATTATTTAACGTAATTTTCTAGTAAAGCACTGTAGCTTGCAATTATTATTTGTAGTCTGTATCTTTCTTTCAAAAGTTAATTAAGTAAGCTTTTTAAAGAGTGAGACGGTCATGTAGTATTATCGTTTTATTTCTAATGTCTTTGATTTCTTAGAACTTATTAGGTATTATTACGTATCTAACTACGTTTGATTAGAGTCCGGATGGGGAAATAATATTTATTCGAAGAGTCAAAGACTTTTTTAGATACATTTTACATTTGCAAACTATGTTCATCATAGGTTTAGTTTTGCACTTTTGAGACGAATTGATTGATTGAAATATATAAATAATTTTGTGTTACATTTTTTAAACACCGGTATTGCACATTTAGTCTAGAAGTGACCGTTTTTTAATAATTATAAATTGTTCAACGTATAATTTCATTTCATTACATATTGATAAATTCTGATGTTTTCTAATCTAAGCATATTTTAATTCATTTATTTGAAACGTGATTTTCACATGCCGTACGAAAAAGAATCTGTAGTACGATATCGTCTACTGTGCGGCGTTTGGGAAAACGCACAACTGGCATTGATGGCGTTGGCGCCACGGAAGTGGCAGCCAGTGGGCGAGTCTTTTAAAGTTTAAGCTTGGAAACTACAAAAAATTTCTTGTTTTGTTCAAATGCGATGGCAAATATTTGCTTCAACGTTTAAACATTGTCGCAGGAGGCGCACCAAAGTATGCAACACGCCACCAATGCGAGAGCTGAAGTTTGTTTTTGGGGGCAACACGCATCAGAATTTTATGTAGCGCACAAATACGTGCTAAGCAGCTGCGGGAGGGGGCACGAAGGAAGGCAACAAAAACTGGCAGACAACGGCAAGCATAAAAACTCCACTTCCGTTTTATTTGCGCCAAATTAAATAAACCGAAATATGGATGACAATATTGGAGAATAATAGCGAAAATATTTTTTTTCATTAATGTGCAATGATGGCAAGAAGGGCAGGAGAGTGGATAGCGGCAACAACAAAAAGGACAATCAAAATAAATAAGCTGCAAAAAGAAAAAGCCGAAAAGTAAAAGCTTTGGCAAAGCCGGACAGCCTATTGTAAGTGCCTCTGAATATATACATACTTGTACATATGCCCGTATACTAAGTAGTATAAAAATATTTATAAAGCGTTAAGTTGGCTCTCATCCTTATCGGAATATCCTTATACTCTATATATATGCAGATTAGAAAAGGTCGTAATCAATTCTACAATTCTGATGCAGAAATTGACAAAATGTAAATAAATATGGCAAGTGTTTTATTAAAAAAAAACAACATTCTTTTTATTGTAAGTGGCAAGTCCAATGTGTAGTTTACCCTTCTGTGTACTCTATCCTCCAAACAATCCTTCAAAACATATTTTATTTCTAATTTAAATTGAATCAACTTATTCACTGTCTTTTAAGGTATACGTAGTTATAGGTACTATAAATACTATATGCAAAAAACAGCAGCAGATCGACCTGATATGAGAGAGAAATACAAGAAACATTTATGTAAACCTAACTATAAATCTCAACAGATTTTATGTGGACTCTTCATTAACTCTTTCATTGAATATACATAAATAATTTTACATAAAATGCATATACATATAGTATATATGCATAATATATTGTATATTAACTCTTTTTTTAAATAAACTATTATATATATGTATTGGAATTTAAAGATATCGCGAATTTTATGTTTTTATTTCTACCGTTCTATTTATTTTAATACTTCTTTTTTGAATATAATTGTTCCATTTTGTAAAAAAACGTACTAAAAGAACAAATTCTTTCATCTGTTATAAAAATGTTCTTTCTGAAAATGATGTCTAATTTAAAATGGTTATTTATTACAAAGATTTAAATTACAGTTCCTATTTCTCAGTGGAACACACTCAAGCCACAAACCATACCATACATTCTTACACTAATCAACACAATTACAGCTCAGTCGAAGCAAAAACTTTTCTAATTGGATATGAAGACGCGCACATGCGTTCGCTTGTAAGAATTCCATTCCATAAAATGGCCAAATATTTTGACAGGCCGTTGTGGATGGCAATGGGGATGAGGGCGCAGAATGGCCGGAACTGCAAATGTAGGCGTCGCTGCGGCTGTCAGACATTGCTGCCGCCCAACTGTCTGGGAGCTTCCCATCCAGATTCCAACCGCCTCCTCCTCTCACGTTGAAATGCTTTGACAAATTATTTTTAAGCCAATTTACAACTTGAGAAAAAGTATCAGGAAAACATATCACACCAAAGTGGCAGGCGGGAGTGGTTGGCAGCGGGAGGCGGGTGAGGACAAGGGCGTGTATGTGTGAGTGTGTGTAAGTTTGCAGAGTAGCTCGCGCGTAGGTAAAGCAAATATAATACGAAGGATAAAAGTGTAAAGTTGACAACCCAGGCACATTACTCACTCATGGTGGCAGCGACGACGAGTACTGCGATGAGAATGGCGACGATGGCGACGGCATTAAAATAACCAACCAACCGATTCAACGTCAAATGAACAAAGTACAGAAGCTCACACACATACACACAAACACACACACTGACGCATACAAGAAGGTAGTAACAGAAATGAGCATGGTGTTAGGAGAAAATGGTAATGCGGAATTGCCGGCGAGCGGCGCTAGGCGGAGCCCAACAGAGTCCTCTTCTAAGTATATGCAGCAGTCAAGGGTTCATGTTTGCCTCCGGCGTTGGTTGGCACTTCTTGGCCATGTTCGTTTTGTTTGCGCAGGATGCCCCTTAATATAATATTTTCTCAGTGCTTTCTCTCTAGCGCGGACTCCTCGACAAAATGTCGACACTGTCAGCGGAAGCCATTAATTTTGTCACTTTCGGAAGTGCAGAGGTGCACATGAGACGCTGATGCCAGCGACACCAACACCAACACTTACACTGTCTAAGTCCAGTCCAGGGCAATGCTTGCTAAAGAATGTAGAAAGGACTGGCTGACTATTGACCAGACAACAACCAACAACGAGCACAACGAGTGCCACAATATTGAAAATCATGAAAAGCAATTAAAGTCGTGCACCTGCGTTTCGAAGCACAATTGATGAACATGGGTATGGCTGATGGAGCAGCAGGAAGATAGGAGGAGGGATAGTACATCACCTCACGACAGTGCAGAAGTTAATTGTTGCTTAAGCGCAAACCACAATGACCGCAGAAACAACAACAACAACACCAGCTGCAAGTGCACTGTCAAAAGTTCGCATGACACTTTTGATGATGGCAGCCAACCAACCAGGCAACTGGTGACCGCAACTCAGAACGGCATTCAGTGAGCAGCGCACGCAGGACGCACGATAGACAACTGCAAGCACTCATACTTAGATATACGTGTACGTAGTTGACTTTGCAATTTACTTAATAATAACTATGCATAATTTAATAGCGGTTTCAAACTTGAAATACGTCACATTAAACATTTAGTATCTAATAGTGGCCAGTGCTGGTGCCCGAGAGCCTGAACGATAATTTACATAAGCAGCACAGACAGCTTTGGGCTCGTCAATATCTCACTCTATTAATTAAGAACTATTTTGCTCAGTCTTCGATGACGCACATTATGTTAATGCCGCATTTGCCGAGATTAACGCCCTCGAGCGCCGAGTCTTGTTGTGTGCGCATATAAATCAAAAACTGTATGATAACGTAAAACAGATTATTTCTATCGTAGGCACAATTGTGCAGCTCCTTTTCACTTATGAAATTGAACTTTGGGTTGAGATAATTGCCTGTGCAGAGTATAGCGCAATGAGCTTTGTTGTGCACGGCATTAACGATGTCCTTGGTCAAGCGTTTCTCATCGCGCGTAAGGACATAGCGTGAATAGAAAGGACGACCATCGCCTTGGGGCAACGGCATCAATTGACTGTCCAAATAAACACAAAACAAATGGAAGAGTATCTATATGGATAAAACATTAGTAAATATATCAAACATTTTATAGCGTATGTCACTTACCGCAGCGTCTGTTGGCAAATGCTCCCCCCACTCCTGGCCATTGTGCGCATTTCCCGAATTCCAACGATATGCGGCGATACAAGAGCCTTGCGCCAACTCCTTGATGCGTTGCACCAAATACTCCTGATTGCTGAATGTGTCCAGAAACGGCAAGAGCATTGGCAACATAGGCGCGCAAGTGTGCAGAAATTGTTGATTCTCAGCCATTTGTCGCAAACGCTCCAATCCAACACTGCCGATTTTCATGTCACTAAAGCCGCGTTGGCGAAACAAATCGTCTACATGATTTATTTCTTTGGCCAAACGTTGCAATATAGTTGTGGATATCCACTGCAAATCGATAAATAGTGTTTATGTTAGTAAAGATATACATAACAAAGGTAATATACTACTTTTATACGATGCTAGAAAATCGTTGTTTTTTTTTTTTTTTTTTTATACGATTTGCAAGCCTCGCATTTACGTGATTTTATACAATTTACGCACATATCGCAAATTAGCCAGATATTGAGATAATCGGTCTGTGGAGATGCATTTGATGACTTCAGAGTTACTGTCCTTATATTGGGCCAACCCAAAATCTTCAATGGACGATTGAGTATTCTCTGCCGAGATGGGAGGCGCCGGTGCTAGGTGGTAGATGGTGTTCCTTAGCATGTAGGCTGCATTGTTGCAGTAGTTCCAGAACGAATTTACTGAGCCATTACTGTGCGGGTATTGAGAATCATTCGCTTCCACACGGCTACGGTCTCGCTCACCCCAACGCATAAACGCTGGCGTTTTGCGTACATCATCACGATTCATGTCCTCATAGGGTGACTTGTACGCCGACTCGTTGCTAATATTGCTGATATTCAATGAATTATTGGTGTTGTTAAATGAAGTGTTTGTATTTTGTTGTTGCTGTGAGCTGCGCATTGGACTGGGACTGCGACGCATTGATTGGGAACCCCAACGAGACTCCTCAAACGAAGAATGCCAGTTTACAATAGGCAGATCGTCCTCGACATCGGTGTCAGGCTCATAGCTGCGACGTTTCTTCTGGTGCAGACTTATAGTTTTAAAAGAGTTGTCTGGAAACATATTACTATAAGAAAAGATAGCTGTTGTTGTTATTCTACACCTACCATTTCCATTGTAGAGCAAAGTCCGTTGCTGTTCCGTTCCAAAGTTATAGCCGCTGCTACAAAGGAACCACATATACTTGCCAAGGCACGCCACAGCACACATGAAGATGAAGATTGCGATCGCGTACTCAATCATATACCATAGGCTTTTTTTGAAAACGCCGCATGTCTGAGATAGGTCTAAAATAAGCAGCACCAGAATCACACTGTGTAGACAGCCCCACTTGAGATACTTTATCGCTTGGGCACTTCGGAGACGTAGGTTAAGGCTACGCTCCACGACGGGGCTCGGACAGAGCGGTGAACTCAAGCTTTCTCGCGAATAATTCATCCTGCTTGCCAGTTATTTGCGAAAACGCTGTAAAATTGGCGGCCTATCGAATAAAGTGTGTACTCATCAAATAAAAGTAAAAAATTACAAAACGTGTGTTGGCTACCAAAAGCTCAACAGCTTGCGAACAGCTGTTGCGAATAGCGTAATCAAGCTGGCTGATACAACACTCAGCAGCAATGTGAGCGCGGTTTATATATTTGAAATTTTACTTTGAATATTTTACATTAAAAGAATTTATTTTTTCATATTTCTTGTTTATTTTGATATTTGCATTAATATATGTATATAATTGTCACTTGTTATATGTTTTTGAAAAATATGCACAATTCATCAACTTAGTTAACGTTCCTAGCATATGTATAAAGCGATATTATACGGTAATTACATATATAGAATGTATGCATTGGGAAAAACTAGTGCCATGTTCATTAATACCGTTAGACATATTAAATATAATACTGATTTGATACATAGTACAACACAAACAAAATCTAATCAGATTTATTAATCGATTATCATCTAGCGAGCGCTTTCATACATTTTCGGAATTGACATGAAATTGGTTTTCAAACAGCTTCCATCCTCCTCTAGCCGCTATTTTAAAAACAACGAGAATTTTTGGAAAATATTCTTTTTTTTGATTTTTTCCCACACTTTTTTGTTTAGTAATTTGTCTACCATATGTATTTGTGTGTATAATTTATATGGTTAGTTTATAGCAATGCCTTTTATATATTGTATGTTCAGCTATATATGCATGTTTGATTTATTTTCGAGTTTTCTGTTGCCTTCATAATTTCGGAATAAAATTTAGTTCATAAGTGCACGTTTTCCCCAACCAGCATGCAGCTTCTGCCAGGGATCACGCTTGCCCCACATTCCCTTAAGATTGTTCCAGGTTGGTTCACGCTTGCCCCAGGCTCCTCGGAATTTGTTCCAGCCCTGTGCCTGTCGCCGCTTTCCCCATGCCACATTCATGTTTTTCCAGGCGCGCTTATCGACTGTATTTGCTTCTCCCGACAGGTCGGTCTCCTCATTGGACAGCTGTGTTTGCTGTTGTATTTGTTGGGGGGATTGCTGCTCCTGGTTTCCACTGGCTAAATGCTCAAAAGTATTCCAGTCCAGCGTATTGGTGCCGTCGGTTATGACTAGTGGCACAAAGTGGCCCGTAACGAAAAGCGTTTCATCCGCATCCAATGGTGCCGCCTCTCCTCGCTTACCCCACGAGCTCTGCAGCGATTGCCAGGCACGTTTATTCTTGTCGCTGTACAGATCAGTTTCACTGAGCTGATCCACTACCTGATCCGATAGAGCCGCCGAGTCACTGGAAGCTGCCAAACTTTGAAGACAGCTGAGGAGCATAAGCAACAGGCTGATAATACAGCTCGACGTCTTAAAGTTGAAACTCACGTTGAAAGTCATTTTACTGCAAAATAGAAAAAGACAGAGTACACTTGAGTTGGAGCGGTTGTGAAAGTGAAAGCCAAAGTAAAAGTAAAAGAGCAATGCAAACAGAGTTCAACATTCAAAGTGCCAAAAGGCGCGCCAATTAAGTCGAATGCCAACCACAACATTCTCAACGTGCCGCTGCGCTTTTCCCTCGGGTGGCTGCGGCCTGTGCGCTTTAAATACGAGTACATTTATATATACATGCACGAGTATACAAATTCATATTAACACTGTTTATTCTTTTTTTTTCTGTTTTGTTTTTGGCGTAGGCAATCATTTCCGCCTACGCTTCAAATTACAACAACAGCGCTAGCCAAACGATTTAGCTAAATAAGCACTCTAATTGAAAGCGACCGGGATGGGGTGTAGAGGTGGGGTCGGCGGAGCACTTAACTCCCAGTGGTGTAATGACGACGGCGTTTGAGGTCACGCCGACTGCTAAACTGTTTGGCTGTCAAACTGGCTTTCTGACGAACTGACGACCGGTCGGGGCTCCACTCTAAAAGGCAGCAGCGCATAACAGTTAGAATTTACGGCCTATTAATGCGTTCCTGTTGTTGTTGCCGCTGTGCCAAGAAGTGGGCGCGTACATGCATTACACGGATATCTCAGCAGGATATTACGCGCACGACACGTTAAGCCAAGACTTGCAGCGTGCTTTACTTTCTTCTTCAAAAATGAATTTCGTGCGTGCCGCGTAGGCATCCGCCCCGCCGTTTCAAGTGCCCGAAAATCGCAAAAACCCCATCGTACTTATACACGCATGTACAAGTGTACATATAATTGAGTATGTGCTTATCTTTTCAATGCGGTAATTAAGCCTTATAGCAGGATTCTTCATTTAGATGGCTTGTTTTCTACTCCACTTTGCAAAAATCCTAAAACCTACAATGGAGGAAACCATAATGCACACGTGTGTGTCTTGCGTCCTATTATAGAAGTATCTGAGGTGCTTACTGTGGGATATGCGACTCCCAAAATTGTTGAGAAATTGTACTGCGATTGTTTAAGCAATACATTATACTTATTGGGCAAAATTATAATTTATTATAATTTGGCTTCTTATATGAAATATATCACTAATTTGGAAATGGTGTTCAACAATTATAAACGCTGAGCTGTTACCGGGTAATCCGAAAAGTGGCTAGTTTCACAATGATAGAACAGTTTTAAATTCTTTTTTTTTAGTCTCCTTTCAACTTGACTCACTCTTCCTCCGACTCTCCCACCTCTTCAACTCCTCAATAAATATTCGCCGTCCTGCTCCTCAAAATGGTGCTAAGAGTTAGAGAGCCACATCGTTTTAATAAGTTTTAACAAACTATCTAAGTACACTCTTTGTTTCAAAATTACAGGTATATCTGTAATAAATTTGAATAAGTATAATAAAATAATTCCAAAAAATAAAATAAACTCGTCCTTTCCCGGACCTAGGAAAATCTGGATACCAATTTTGGTTATTCTAGGTTTTATAGTTCCTGAGATCCTTGCGTTCATCCATACGGACAGACGGACGGACATGTCTAGATTGATTTCTTTCGTCATGCTGATTCAGAATACAAGTATATATACTTTATGGGGTCGGAGATTCTTCCTTCTGCTAATAAAAAGCGCACATCACAACCATTCCTATATGAAAACAGAAAGTCAGTTGCTGCTCACTCTGATTATCACAGGCGATAAAGAACCGAGAATAACCCAATTTGTCGATCTACCTTGCCATAACCAACGGAAATTGTGTGATAAGATTCATTGGTTCATAGGATTAACCATAAATTACAAGTATTTATTAAAAAGCCGTAAATGGTTTGTTTAATACCAATTTTGATGGATAAGGGCATGGCAGCTTTATGTTCAGTATAAGGTACAACCTTTGAATACATGGTTAAATCTTATCGAATATAGTAAAATTTCTCAGAATGCCTGTAAGTTTTTCTTGAAAATGCTAATGTGCAGGCAATGCTCAAGATTACAGCCGTGTTTGCTAAGAAACTAAAATATTTCCTAGGCAGGCTAGATAAAAGAGACGCTGCTAAGCGGCTTGCAATTGTTTGTGCTCGGTGCTTGAGAGAGAAAGTAAGTAGTTTGCCGTATGCGGCTGCACGAACACACATATTGATTAGCATACTTACGTGGCAGCCAACGTATCAGCATACGACAAGGAAATGTCCTTTGACAGGCGCACTCGCCGACTTAAGCGCCTACATAGAAATGCTTTTCTAGGCGCAAAATCTTTTAAAACCCCCAACGCGTCAATCATCGATGGGAGCGTGTGCGGAGCTATCTACGCGCTTATCTACCCAATTGTTGCGCGCGTGTTGACTAAGTGATGGCCCGCTTCATGCTGATGATGATGTAAATGCGAATGTGGTGAAAGCGGATAATGTTATGCTTGCGAGTTGGATTGTTTGCTTTTTGTTGCCTACTTTTCTGCGCTGCACCGTGAGTTTAAGTGGAAAGAACACATGCCTTAGCATACAAGTAATAAAAATGTGTAATAGAATAACATAGAACCAAATTTAATACTCTCGAGAATACCTTGATAGCCATTTATAATTAATCTTAGCTAAGAAAGTTGGCACGGACTATTTTTGAACAGCTGCTCGGCCGATCTAATAAAAAATTAAATCACTTGCAGAAAACCACATACACAGTTTTTTACATGAAGTCACACACAAAATTTGTTGAAAGAGCCAGCTTCGAGTTCAAATTTCCAAATGCAAATACAATGCAATGAGTCGGTAAAATCAAAAATAATTTTTTATAATTAAAACTTTTAATTTCGTTGTGGTTATCTCCGAATCATTTCAATTGCTCTGAATAATAATTAATTTTTTTTTATCTTCAGTCATAATATGCTAATTCGAATTTTGTGGAAATCTTCTAGGTTCAGTTACCTCTGGAGAATTACTGATCACCAACACTATGAATAGGGGCATAGCTTGCCGGACTGGCTAATAAACATTCGCCTGCCGGGTGAGTGATTATCCACCTTTACGCTTTTAATTATATTTTATCTTTTTTAATTTAAGTATTTTAATTTTAGTTTATACTTGTTTTTCATTTTTTATTGCTATTTGTTCATCTTCATTTCTTTTTTGTTAGGTCTTATAACGTCCTTGACTATATTCTGCTCTTTCTTCATAATATAAATAAAATACAAATTAAAGACACATAACTCAAAATGCCGATTTTTTAACCACAAACTGCAAGTCTGACATTTTCACTGTTTCCGTTTTCAAATCAACAGGTTGTGCTACTTCATTTGTCGATGGCAATTTCGAAGACAAAATCATAACCACAACCTGTTACTGTCTCCATATTGGCATGAAAACAGGAAATTATTTCTTCGATTGGGCCGTAAATAGCTGTGGAAATAAGGTCGCGAAGCAAACACAACAAGTTGATTAACAAAAGGACACATCGAAGCAAGGCCCTGTAGATGTAATAAAAACAATTTGGCGTAAAAAATCATATATTTTTATAGCAACATAAGAATATTCTAAATATGCGTGTTTGAAAACTATTTTTCGGATTTGTAAATTCATGAAAAAATCTAACCTTCTAATGAAACTTCTACTTATGATTGCCTGTTTTTAATTGAATTTTTGTATTGGTTTTTGTTGATTTTCTGCCCACTATGCAGGTTTGGGTATTCAGTTGGGCCATTAAGTTTAAGCGTTGGTCAAAGTTAACTGTGTGGATTGACTGATTGTTCAAATGCCTTATTGGGTGGTGCCAGTTGAACTTTTGTTGGCCTTCAGTCTTATGCTGCCTTACTTTGCATTTAATTTGTGAAGCTATCGCTGATTGATTGACACGCTCACCAAACTAGCATCGAAACTTTGAACGGCTTTGTGCGCTGTACTATAATGCCTATATATGTACATAGTATATACATACACATCTCTTACTCCATAGCTAGATAGCTACATAGCTGTGGAATAGATAAAATGGCGCGCATAAAATTTTATGACCCCATGCGAAGTGAGTTCGAAAGCTGGCACGTCCAACGCAAGTTGTAATTGAAATTAACTGAAAATATTTATGGCCTTGCTGCTGACATTCTTGCCAAGTGTGGCAGATGAGGGAACAAGCTGGCAAACGGTTGTATTATTTATTTAAGCGCCTGCCACCGCATTATTCATGTCGCCTGGTGCGTTGAATTTGTCTGCCAACAATTTGGCCCAATTTGTTCCATGACCGAGTATTGAAGGCAGATCCAGCAACAACTACTTGTAAAGCACCAGCAATGGCAGCTTGTTTGCTGTAACTCTTCGAAAATAAATTTAAATAATATATGCGCGCTAAAATTAAACAGTTTTCAATCAAGCAAAAATCGCTCCATCCTCATCAGCTCCTCATCATCTTCATCATCAGCATGCACCCACGTGTTGTCTGTCTACTGAGCTATTTCTTCAGCTCCATAAGATATTTTTTGGCAGCGCCTCAATAAATAACAATATCAAATATTTGCAAAAGGATGGCAGTTGCCTATAAGTACGAGCATTCTGTTTAAATAGGTTTTTCCTGCCACTGCTGCAAACCGTAGTGCTGCCCCAGGGCCCATCAAACACCACAAATTTTCGACAGCGATGGTGCAAAAAATCGTCAATGGCAAATTCTATTGGCATTAAAGCAAATTCGTAAATAAACAACATTTCCACAGAAGTGTAAATAAATTCGCGTTCCCGTGCTAGGCGCGTTCGGCCATGCAAGTCCGTGCCTCGTCGAATGATGTCTGAATTTTGCATTTGCCGGTACGACCCTTTATAGGAACCCCAACAAGCGCTTCGCTCTCTCCCCTCACCTTGGCTGATCATTCAATATTTAATGCGTTGAACGTTTTTTTTTCTTTTTTTGGCCACAAACTTGTGCATAATTAAGTGATACATGTGTTTGTGTGGAGCCATAAATGCCTAAGGAAGAGGCAAGGTGGTCCTTCTTCAGGGAAACCGGTAGTCTTGATTGACTGTTTTTTTTTGTTGTTAAGCATCGTCTATGAGAAGGGTGATGAGGAGAGGAGGAAAGCATTTAACGAGTCACTGTGTTTTATTATACAAATGCTGAATCTCGGACCAAAAATACACACTACAGTAAAACCGTATGTACTTAAGTTATATTTCATATTTTTTTAGAAGCCCATATAACTTAAATGCCAATATTTATAGTATTATATTATTACTATTATTTGCTTTAGAATTTATTTTGGCTCCAAAATTACTTTTTGGTTTTAATTTGTATATCTGCAAATCAATTTATTTTTAAAATTGGATACCGCTCTGAAACGTTGCATTGATTCTTCATATTGTTCCCAACAGATAGTATGTTGAGTTCGAACACACATATAAGGCAAAGAAAAAACTCTTGCCGATGTTGCTGCATTTGTAAGTCTGGAATATCGATCATGGAACGAAGGAATCAGTCAAAAGGAACTGAAGTAAGTGATTTGGTTGGCTAACAGCCGTTGAAGATTCATCTTGATGTAAAATATGAAAAAGGGTACACAGTCATGAGGCATTTGCGCTATTTCAATCTTTTTAATGTGTAAAAAGATCCATATTTTCCGGCTAATTAAGTTTAACAATTTGACTCTATTACATTCATCTAAATAATAATAAATTTGCCATTTCCATTGATTTTAGAAAAGAGACGATGGCAAGCAGCGTTAATGGCCGTTAAGCTTTATAGCTGGATTTTGCTAGACTGTTGTAAAACTCCTTATTTGTCTTAAGTATAGTTTATAATACTTATTATAAGGCCATTGTAAACTTGTGAATTGAAAATTTAGGTCATGTTTAGACTTAATAAGCATTATACCAATGGGATCAAACATAGATATTTCGTAGACTTATGTTGTTGTATATTACAACAATTTTTAAATTTTTTTTTTTCTAGAACTGAAACTGATAAAGCCTGCAGGGGTGAAGAGAAATACATAAGATAAATAAAATTGTTGCTGTACATATTCTAGTATCCTTAGATAATGCTGCAAACAGCAGTCACAAAATTGGAAATTATATAGAGAATACATATTGAGAATTAAACTGGAGCTCAGACCTGAATATAGAAGTATCAACTCAATACTGCCTCTAATTTCAAAAATATTGCTCAATTATGTTCAATTTGGCAAACAACTTCCTTAAAATAGTTAAAATGCTTCATAAATGTGATTAAAGTGTCAGCTTGATTCTAAAATGTTGGGAGTCGACCAGCCCATGGCCATATGCATTTATAAAATTAAATTAAATCTGCTGTCACTGTCAATAGTTTTGCCTAAAATACGATTTGCAGCATAAACTCACCTGGGTAGAGAAATTGTATTTTATATGAAAATTTTCGCCACAACGCTGCGTATTTTTTCGTGTTCAGTTCAGCGGATATTTCACAATTCCGTGCACCCCTATTTTATTTATATTATTATGTTCTGTTTGCATATATAGTAGGTTTGCACGTGAAATTACTTTTATAATTGAGTTTGCGGTGTTATCGTGGAATTCAATTAGCGCACAAATATAGCTGCTCGATTACTCTGGCTCTCTAACACTTTATGTCTGTGTACTTTTTCAAAATGAACCGTTATGTTGGAGTAAGCGCTCTGGCTTCTGCATAAACCTGTTGATCAACTGTTAATGGCACACAGCAGTGCCGCGGCTGCCGTTTATAAATCAAAACGGAAGCGAATCGACGAACGATTGGCGGCCGACAGCGTTACACGAACAGCAGCAACGAATGGCGACACGAGTACACAAACGCAAACACACATACACTTACACGCGTACTCATAGAATGTACAATAGGAGCGTGCTGTCAAGCAGCTTTTGTAGTTGGCAGTTGCAACGGAAGTGGCCAAAAAGTGTTGCCTACTTATTGGGGACAACAACAAAGAGCCGCCCGCCTGCTTGCCTAACTACAAGTGTAGAAGTATGTATGTGTGTGTACACTGATAGAAAAAGAGCCCTTCTAAGGTCAAGGGGCACCCTACTTAATGTTGTTACATTTCCTGCCTTAAAATTTCAAGTACGCATCGTACTTGAACCTACTTACTATAAAGCCAAAATATAACAAAATTATGCTAAAAATTTAGAGCAATAGAACGTTGATTGTGAAGAAAAACTATTAAATTAGGAAAACAAATATGTTATAAAAATATGAAATACACTTGAAGCGTACTGAAAAGGCTAAAAATATACATACGTCAAAATATCCTGAATTTAGTACTTTACGCTCTAATCAGATATGGAATAAGAATAAGTTGCAAAACTTTAATTTTCTTTTTCGTCTAGTCCGAACGGCTTAAACCTTTTTGCCCGAATTGGGTGATAGACAATTTTTTTTAGCATACAAATATTTCCAAAGTGGGTTTGGTGTGTATTTACGTTGATTGAAGACATACTTAAAAAAAACATGAGTGGGTTAGTTGAATTTATTTTGTCTGCACAGCTTTATCTTAAAGTGACTCTATTAAATCATTATTGTATGAGCCAAAGAATCAATTACATACTTTCAATATACATTTGAATTGTTATATGTGGTACATGGCATGGAATATTAAATTCTATTACAACTAGAGGTTTTCTGTCCGTGAGTTCCATGTTTGCGTCCGTTGATTGGTTTCTTTTAGTGTAACTTTGCAAATATTGCGAGCGAACAGGTTTGAAATTGGTGGCGGACGCTGTTGGTTTATCTGCCAATCCACCGCCCCTTTGCTCCCCTTTTGGAACATACATACTTCTGTGCCAATGCAGCGTGTTAGACTTTGCTTGGGGCAAACAAACAAACAAAAAATCGTACATACAAGCAGGCACACATACATACAAGTAAATACACATGCATATGCGTGGGCTATGCTCATTCAAATTCATGTACATGCCCCGCTGCGAAACCAACGCCCATGGCAGCATTTGAAATTAAACATTTTTATACCAAACCTTAAGCACTTCTTGAGCATCGAGCATGTCCCATATGCAATTGCACTTATTTCTTTGTCGGCGGTCCCAACAATTCTAAGGCGACGAGGTGATTGCCACAAACCGACCTGCGCTCAAAGTGAGTTTGTGCGGCTGTTCGTGTGGTTTGTGTGTAAATACAATTTTTCCATTTACCGTCAATTTGCGCTGTCAACGAATGTGCACCCCTCCCTCCCCATACAACGATTCCTGACCACATATTCGCAGCCACAGCATGACCAACCTAAATGTCTAAAAACCCTTTTAGTGCTTCATGAATATTTATGACGATACTGTACCGTTACTTCTCTCTTTTTTTATTTTGCAACATTCGATTCCTTTCGAAAACAGGTTCTTCAATTACGACAAAAACGTCAGTAAACGGCATAAGACACCTTTTCGTACACACCTGTGAACACACATACATATGTACATGGGTGGGTTGTGGGTGCTTTGGATATCAACAGGTTTCCATCGATGGAGATGACGACGATGTCGACGATGTCGACGAGGACGGCGCCTGTTGCCCAATAAACGATGATGGGAATATTTATGACACTGCTACCGGTGCGTATAATGAATGGGTTATGCGTCCGACCGCACATCGCTCAAAATGCTGCCTCAGGAAGCCGCCGTCAGCTCAAGAGATAAGGCAATGCATACGTAGTTACTAATTGATTTGGCCGCTGATAAATCGCGTCGGGGAAATGGTATCACGATACAGACAGATACATGTGTTTTTGCCACGCTTTGTTGTTATTTTTCTTGGGACTGTGTAGATTGTAAATCATCTATTTATTATTCATATACAGTCCTGTCTAATTGTTGCTATTAACCTTCGACTTTTAGCTTGCCCCTATTTACGAGAGGCCAACAGTTGGTAACAGCTTTTTTTACAGCACCCTAAACGCAGAACCTTAAACATTAATAACGTGCAAGGCATATACATACATATGTACAAGTATGTACATAATATATGTATGTATGTTATGTTTGTGTGTGTTCTTATTTGACTCATGCCTGCGAGATGCACAACAATGTGATGAAGTTGTAGCTATGCTAGATGTGGTGTGCAGGCGTTAGATGAAGCCTTGGTAAACACCCAGCTCTTTTTTATCCCCTCAAATGTCACATTTGTATGGAAATACCCAGGGTGCTTGCATTGTAAGATGAAGTAGTAGTCGTTGTTGGCAGCTAATAATAATTTGTTTGCACTTTGCATATGGCAGCAGTCAACAATGCCTGCAACAACAACAACAACGTCCTTACATTTTATGTTCTTTGAAATATTGTCAGTAGCTTGCGTTACGGCTTTGTAATAAACATGAATTCATATTGTACTTAAGTTATGAAAACTACTGCATGCAAAAGTAATTATAGGAAAATATCCCATAAATGAAAAAGAAGAAGAGTTAACCGAAGCACTTGCAGGAAATTTATTTGAAAGTAGCGCCAAGATCTTATCGTTGACAGAAGCTCATAGGTACAAAAATGTAATCACACAATGTGTACACTGTAGCATTATTACAACCTTGATAGGTATGCACTTTTTCTCTTTTGCAAAACAATACCGGCTATAGGACTAATGTATAAAAAAGTTGGATAAATGGAAATAATACTACCTTTGGAGCTTCACAACGAGCAGAAGTTCCTAGACTGTGCTTCTCAAATACAATATGATGAGTTTTCAGCCGTAAGTCCTATATTGCCCCTTAGTCTTTTCTACCATTAACTGCTGTTGTTTGTAGAGGAAATTTGTATTTTACAATGGCTACAGCGACTTGGATATATACGAAAACATGGGCGATGACCGCATACAGACGCTCCTCTATGGCTGGGAGGTTTGCAGTCTGCACTGGCGCGACTGCATCACCGAAGAAATATGTCATATTGTGAAGGTGTTGGCCCATCATTCGCTGCAGTTGTGGTTTAGTCAGGAGTGGATTGTGTGCTCTCCCTGCTTGAAGAGAATGTTGCTTTATTACCTTCAAAAAGCGGCTCCAGCATTCAACCAGATCGCAGATCTGCGTGAAATTGATTGGACGTATTTATTACATTTTCAAACAACTCCCTGGCGTGTGCCATATCTTCAAAAAATGTTTGCGCAGCTTAAACAGAATAAACAAACTGGCATAGAGCCTCCCGTTCCAGCACCTACAAGCGAAGGTAAAAGCTTACCCATTGCCAATCATCCACATATTCAAATTCTTGAATTTTTTAGATTTCACATTTCTGCAGCAAGAGGATCTCCATCTCATACTGTTGCGTTTAATAAAGCTGTTCGATGCCGGGAGCTGGGAGGCGGTCAAGCAATTGTCGCTCCGCGTCTTGAGTGCTTGGCTGAAGACGCATGCCAATTCCCGTCTCGAAGACTTGCAGCGAGATCAGGTCTACATCATATTGACTGCACATACTTATCTAATGACTGTCTTCGTGGCAGATGATAATCGTGGCTACATTATAGACAACATGGTAAGAAGCTGAAACAAACCGTTTATGCATTAATCACTCATCTCCTCGAATCTTAAACAGATGTACAACATACGCTTCTATACGCAGAGTATGCAGGAGGCGCGCAATTCGGAGGGCATTATTTATACTCCAGCTCGACTTATTGCCCAGATTTGTGTACTTCTGGGTTTGGGCAAATACGGGTTTTTTGACCATATTATGTTCAAAAAGTTCAACTTAAATCTTGTGACATCTTTTGCTGTTGTACTGGAGGCTTACTCCAGTTATGTTATGGGCAATCAGCTGCTGGACTTCATGGCCATGAATGACAACGACTTTAAGGCTCATTTGCCACAGTTTAAGTTGCTGATGCATCGGTATGTAGAGGAGCGCGAACATAGTGAGCGCTTCCTGCTCAACGAGCTCACGAAGTTGGAAGCACAGCGCAATAGTCATGCAACACCAAATACAGTGCAATTAAATCTAAATCACCAGCAACAGATTTGCAAAGGAAATCGCGCCAGCAACATTGGCAATTATAAAAATTGCGACGATGATGCGAAACCACAACTGGATCTTGACGAAGAACACGATATCCAAATAGATCCCGTATTTCAAAACGTACCTCTCACCGATGAGGTGCTTGAATTTGTATATAATGTGCTAGCACCGCGGGTAAGATCACGATGTTGCTTATTAAAATGTTCAGCTACTAATGCATGTTAAAAACTTTTCAGGACTACCATGGCTGGCAATTTGCTAAAATTGTACTGCTTTTAAAAATCATTGGCCATAAGTTAAATACAATTGAGATTTGGCGCTATCATCCCGGACTCACCACAACATTTATGCTTAATTTGGAGCATAAGTTAGCCGACAACTATGCCGACTTGGCTAAATTATTTTCCGAAATTGCATTCATGGAGGCAGAGTTCTGGTTGACGGCGTTCTATTTGCATCCAATTCGTTCTTACTATGGTGAAGTAAAACGTTGTTCGCGTATAAAAAAGAAGCGTCTGCATGATGATGAGCTATCTCAACCTTCTCCAGCTAAAAATAGGCGTTTGGAGCCAATACCCAATATCAAATTTGAGCTGTTGAGCTCGACAATTGATGTAGATGAAATTGTTACAATTACCAATCACAGTGCGCCCGTCGCCGATTACGATCCCCTCTATAAAGCTTTACAAGCTTTGCGCTTACCACGTAGTATTGTCAATGACCTTCTAACGGTGGCGTTTCAGCCACGCAATAAGCGCTATTCGTGGGCGCTGGAATGGGAAACTCTACATGATCGTTGCAGTGCACTCCTTAACAGCAAGGACTTAAAGAGAAAGTTTGTGGCACTAAATATGGCAGAGGCCAATGATAAATTGAAATATCTAAAAATTGATTATGCAAAATACAAAAATCGTCCACAACTGGACTACGGCAGTATTGAGGAGGGATATGAGAATGCTGCTAACATACCCGAGACTGAAGTCGAACATAGTCCTGACGAGGATGCTGAGGAGAAAAAACCTAGGCGACATACTCGAAAATATTGGGATGAAGGTAATTTTTTTCTACTATATTATTATATTTTTTTGGGTACATCCATTGGAAAGCTAAACTTTAATAAAACTTATACCTTGCAGTTATATCTGAAGAAGAAGAAGAAGAGGCATCAAGTGATTCAGATGAGTATCAGGAAGGCACGGGACGTCGAACGCGTACGCGTGCTGCTGCTGTGGTTGCCAAAGCAATGATTACGGACATGGAACGTGAAATACGAAGTGGCCATCATTCGCACGCACTTTCACCCTCTTCCGCAGCACTTCCGGAAGAGGAAACGCAGCCGGGCTCGCCAGAAACTGTGCCCAAGGATTCATTAACACAGCAAGAAATTGCTCCTGAGAAGCGTCCATTTGGCGAACTTTTACAGGCGCGCGACAAGTTCAAAAACGACACTATCGGCTTTAAAGCCTTTGCAGACATTTGGAGCTTTGAAAAAAATGAACTATCACGGGTAGAAAATGATAATAATGTGCTCTTAGAAAGTAACACATTGTTAAAAAAGTTCAGAAACCTTAAATGTCTGAAACGGGATACCAGTACTGCAACAGAAAAAATTGAAACTATGCCACCATTGCCTGAGGAGCATTTTTCGAGACCCAGAGAAGCCATACGTGTTGAAACCGCTTCTGATATTTTTAATTTAGCTGGACCGTCAATACCAATCGAATATCCTAATGAAGCGGAATCCGATAATGCTATGAAAATGATAAAAGAGACGATTCACTCCCCGTCGACAAGTTTATTGACAGATAAAGTGTTAAATGAGGAAATTGAGATCTCAATAACACCGCCTTTGCGTGAAGAAATCAATGCAGTAGAAGCTGATTTTGAAACCATAATTGTAAAAGAACCCAAGGAGCCTAGAATTGAAACGGAAATGAGATCAGTAATTGAGGAATCTGTAGAGGTTAAAAATTCGACAGGTGCGATTGGCACGGAAACCGCAGCTGCGGAAAAATCGGTCGAAGTCAATATGCACGCTGCATTGAGCTCCGAAACAGAATCGGAGACCGAAACGGCAAGAAATGAAAATAAAATGGTGTTGGTAGAAGTCATCTCAGGAGAAGAGCCCAAAGACGGACCAACAATTGGAGAATTCCAAACGGATCTCTATAAAACTCCGGAGGAAACAGCAGTCGTAAAAGCTAATGTTCTTACACGTGATGAACCCGAAGATGACGCAACAATCAAAGAATTTCAAAACGAACTCGTGGATATAGTATCAGCACAAATTGAAGTTTCTGCAGAGAAGGAATTAGCAGTCAAAACTACAACGTTTGAAACTAAGGTGGATCCCCTTGACGCTCAAGAATTGGCAGATAGATATGAAACGTCAACGGCAGAACCATTACCAAAGCGCCTTAAGGCCATTCCAGACGATAATGTAACTCCCAACACCGGTATAACCGTAAACGAGGAAGAAGATAGCGAGGAACAATACAACGAGCAAGCTGTTTCTTTTAGAAGTCCAACAGTGCCTCCCTCTGTAGAAGAAACGGAGAGTGAAGAAGAAGCTTCTGAAATGAAAAAATTCCGAGATCGACTGATACACGAATGCCTAACACGCCCAGCTAAGGTTCATCTGGTTAGGCTTGCACCACAGGATATCGAAACTTTGCGGGACTTTCGCGTACGGGTCAAGAGAACAGATTTCGAAAACTACTATCGCGAGCAAACTCAAGCGCAGCAACAAATCAAGCGCAGGCGAAGACCGAGTGCCAAATCGCGCAGCAATACAGAAGACAGCAACGCCTCGACTCCCACGTTAGAACTGAAGAGTGTGCGGAAGCGCTATAAGAAATTCGTACATATTACATCCGATTCACCCACAAGTTCACCCGCAATGATGTTGGTTAGACAACGCCTTAAGCACTTCCATCATGTCACGTCCGACTCTTCAACGGAGGCCGAGGAAATATCACGACCGGCTCCGGCTACAGTTAAGCGTAGACGCGGTGCAAAACTTTACACGACACCGCGTAGCTCTAGCGGCCTAAAAATACGAATTTCCAAGAAACGGGCCGATAATGCGATGGCCGACGTTATAGAGCTGTCCTCAGGGTCATCAAGCTCATCGTTGTCCTCGCCAGTGCCAAGCACCTCAAGGGGTCACTTTAATCAGGTGGCCATGCCGCTAGAAATGGATCCGCTGTACGAAGAGGAAATTGTTCCTTACTGCTAATCATATATCAGCAATTGTTTGCTCAGATTTTCGATTTCAATTCTGTGAATCTAATACTAATAAATATGCTCTTCTGCATATCTGGAAAAAAACTCACAGTTTACGGAGTTTGAAAGTTCAATGAATAGGAATCGTTTTCCTACGACTTGGTCAATTGAAAAATACCTCTTATATAGTAAGATCTCTTGCCCCAGATCGACCAAGATTGAATTGGGTAAGAGGCGAAGCCCTGCGTGTTATTATATTTAAGTGCTTATATATATACTATATATGTTTAAATTTAAACGAACCACCAGCAACAACTTCGAGTGCCAGGTGTTAAGGATAACAAAAACAAATAAAACTTAGCTATATATTCTCTACAATCCTGACATAATGTAATAAAATATCGAGTTACTCACACACATAAAATGCATTTGAGGCGCATTCGCCTGACTCAACTGGGCGGACGCTCCCCTTGCCATCGCTCTGGTTTTCGCCCGTGGCAATGATGCTACGTGCTTGGAACGAATGCAGGCGGGGTTGAACATGAACAGGCAAAGGACTGCCGAATTGGACGCACAAGCAGCCTGGAAAATTGAATTTGCCTCGCTTGTTAGAATGCAATTAGCCTGGGGCATATTTGATATTTGCTTTGGCTCACAATACGCATGAATTTTGATAAAATTATATATGTCCACACCGCTCACGAATTGTTTTGTACGGCATGTTTGTTTTTATGCCAATGCTAGCGCCCGAGGCAATGGCTCTGGATATGGCCAATTGTTGTGTCGGCTTCTTAAAAGCGAGCACAATTCGGGGCTGCTGTAAGAGATTCGATTGAAAACCAGCGCAACATAATTTAAATCTAGATTTGTTGGTCAGAACGAATGTACAGAATTCAGGCATAGCGCTTACAATTTACATCTTTATTGATTTGCTGCATTTTAATGTAACATCATTAAATTAGCCGTCACCAGCCACTTGAAGCTTACCAACCATAACAAACGCGTGCGGTGGCGACACGTGGCGGCGCGGCGTTTGGTGTGAATTTTGGTTGCCACTCATAAGTTAATTCCGAACACTTGAAGGGAGTAGGATGTTAATAATGAATTATTATAACAACGCATGAGAAACGCTAAGGGCGTGAGGCTTACACAAACTATATCTGAGAAAATAATTGTGTATTATGGGAAAATGGCTCTAGTAACTTAAAAATCTATGCCAATACTTGTATATGTTTTTAAATAAATACAAAGTATATGTATATTGGTAAGAAAGAAATACTGTTCCAATTAATCAAAGAGTTTAAAACAGCAATATCTTAATATATCGCCAAATTTAAAATAAATAAAGTGATGAATATTCTACTATTTGTTTGCTTTTTTTATTTACTAGATAACTTGCAGAAGTACAAATATTTAAATTAATATTAAATCTACCACAGAGAAAGGTATTATCATGTAATCTTAAATTTAGTATGCAAATTAGTATTTGAAAAAAAAAGAAATCAGTCAGCGAAACATCTTACATACTTGTATTGTAAGCATATTTGATTTTACTAAATTATAAAATAAATTTAATATTATTATTTTTGTTAATTTAAAAACATTTTATGGAGATCACATATTTACTCCGAACTTTTCTTACATATTTGCAGCTGTAAGTCAGCAGTAATTGGTGGAATCTGTTAACTTCATCAAACCGCAGCCCTAAGGATTATCAATTGGATGTTGGGGATTTTCACCAAACATTATTTACAATAAGTTTCACAATATAAAAATGTTCTCTTTGAAAGTCAAACACAAAAAGCTCTATACGGTCAGCTGAACCCAATTAATTAATTAATTTTACTTTTCATTAAACAAATCCTAGTAAACTTATTAACCAAAGGATTTCGAAAAATTCTCAGTAGGATAGATTGCTAAAACACTGTCATATTTTTTTGATTTTAAGGAAATAAAAGAGGTGTTGCTTTATCAAATTAAATTTAAATGGTAGATATACTTAGTTTAACTAAGGGATTTTGAATGATATAAAAATACGTAATACAATAATTTTAGTCTAATGATGAATAAGTCCTGCTCAATGAAGAGAATTAATATATTTCCCATACAGTTGAACTACAAAATTTCTCATAATTTTTTAACCAAATCCATTAAATGGCTTAACAAAATATTCATATGCGGATCAAAAAAAAAACATAAGTTTAAGGGCGCACTTATATAAATAGAACCAACTGGCCTTTTTATTTTCTTGCTGCAATTTTCCACTCGAATTTCAAGCAATAGCTCGTGCCGATAATTTGCACACAATTGACGAGCATATCATGACAAATCTGCGGGGCGGCCTCTTCAAATGATATCTCCTCTATTACAAAAGCCAAAACTGGCGACACACGCCGCCACTTGAGCAGCCGTGGTGGCGCTCAACATCGAGTAGGACACGTGCCGCCCCTGCCCCTGCCCCTGGCACCGGCCACGGCAGTTGCGGACCGGAGGACACATGTTGCGTTTTTGGAAAGTGTTGGCGGCGAGTGCCACGTGCCTGTAATTCGTTTAAGCCCAAAACGATTATTGCGGTTTATTGGCAAAGCTGTGAAGGAGTTAATGAATAGGTTATTTGTACTGGGCGTGAGTTCAAAGTTGTGACAGCAACAAATTGATGATGGGAAGACCACAACAGGAATAAGAGTGCGCTCATGCACTATGAACTTGGCCGATCCTCGAAGCAGAAATAAAAACATCCTTCCGATTGGTTTGCATGTGAAGCGTAAAAAATGCTCGTGTTTTAACTGGCAGTGGTTACTATCGTATGTGTATGTGTGCGTGTGTGTGTGTGTGGACGTTGCAACCCTCTGGCGACAATCACTGCGCGCATATCTTTTGGGATTTGTGCTATGGCGCCGTTCTCGCTGCCCGGACCGACGACAATGCGCCGAGGGTTGTTGCCGCCTAAATCAATGGGCTTACGGCAGCCTTTTCCATCAGTGTATAATATCTGTGTGTGTGTGTGTGTGTGTGTGTCTAGATGTCTGTGTGTGTGCGCTAATGGCTGGCATAAAACCGACGCGCACACTTGGTCAACTTTTAGTTGGTACGGGCACGCGAAACGGTTAACAACAACAAAGCAAATAAGGAAGAAATGTACCAGACCGAACGATAACTCCGAGCTTTAATCAACATGTCCGCCTGTTATAATACCTACAATGCGCAACCGTTCGAGTTTGATGAGGTCGAGGACGATGACGATTGTTCCTTCGACAGCGGCTATGAAAAAAGCTTCGAAACGGATGTGAGCGCCAACGGCACAAATCTCATCACATCGCGCAGACGTCTGGACTTTGATAGCGTTGCGACAGCTCCCTTGTCTTATGTGCCGCCCCCTGCGGGTAGCTGGGAGGCGGGACAAGTGGCAATGGCAACCACCTCGCCACCGCCCGGCTTTGCAGCCCTGCTGGACACGAGCAGCAATCACAGCACGCGGAGCGGTCGCACCCTTGTGGAGCATCTGAACAGCAGAGCCGCTGCCTTCGAGCCCCAACTCACTTCGACGCCCGCCAAGTCTCCGCCGGATGAGGAGACGGCAACGCCACGGGTAAAACGCAAATATGCCGTCGGCAAGAATCGTGTCACGCGCTCCCGCAGCCCCACCCAAGTGGTGCGCATTAAGAAGTTCCGCCGCATGAAGGCTAACGATAGGGAACGCAATCGCATGCACACTCTCAACGATGCGCTGGAGCGTCTGCGCGTCACGCTGCCCTCGCTGCCGGAGGAGACGAAGCTCACAAAGATCGAGATCTTGCGCTTTGCGCACAACTACATCTTTGCGCTGGAGCAGGTACTTGAAAGTGGCGGCACCATTAACTTGGATTTGGAAAAATTGCAGAACTTCACGCTGAGCGGGGAGCGCATCACTAAGGAGCTCTTCGATGCGCTCTTCGTGAATCCACAGCCCTTTCCCATGTTCGGCTGCGGGCGCCTCAATTTCCCCTATGCCCAACAGCATCCGCATCCGCATCCACATTCGCATCCTCATCAGCATGCGTCACACATGCAGTATCCGCATTCCTTGGACTACCCACCATCCAATGGCGCTGCTGTCACAGACTCTCCAACCTCGGTGCATCCTCAGCCTCCTGGCTTTGACTTTGGCACGAGCATGCGTTACTACCAGCAACAACAGCAGCAGCGGGAGGCGCCACCAACGAGTCACTTCTCTCAGGAAAAATATGAGATTTTCCGCAGCAACTTCGAGGTAGCTGCCAATCTGACGCCTTCATCCATAGACCAGGTCAATGCTACGACGTCCATGCATCAGCAAAGCAGCTTCTACTCGCAGACCCCGCCCTGGAAGGACTACAGCGAGGAGTTGGCTCCACAGTCGCCGGCACACACATTCAAACAATTTACCCACCAGGTATAGCACAGTTTTGGGGGTCAGCGCTTTCGTTGGATCATGTTTTTCGGGAGCTATTGTGGTGTACTCGTAAGTTTTCAATGCGTGATATGAACAACTATGTGAAGTTTTCAAAACGGAAATGGCACAAGGCAAAATTTTGATCAATCTTCTATCAAAGATTTCTCATATTCAGAAAGGTCGACCGCAACGGAATCGAAATCTCCAATGCCTTTATGCGATGTAGGGAATGAGTTATACGATCTTTTGCATTTAAGAGCATTGCGAGTAGTGATGACTGCATATGTGTTTCGATTTCTAATGGTTTGATATTCTGTTAATATATTTTGCCTTGTTTCGATCTCGTTAAGACTCAGTTTTTAAATATTACAAGTAAAAACTAAATTAATTTTTGCTATTAGCTTATCAAAGCTAATATTAACAATTAATTTAAAAAGAGAGTGCGGGCTATCGGTAAATTTCAATAAAAAGCTTGAAAAACATTTTAATATTTTGCAAATTCGAATATTTGTGTAAAAACTGAGTTTGAGTTTAATGTTTATTCTTAAATCAAGACTCGGTTGATATTAACATACAAGCTGAATTTTCTTTAGCGATTGCCTGATATGAAACAAAATCTCCATATTTATTCAGTTCCACAAAAGAAGAATCAATTTTATTCAAATCATGTTCCCCCAAATATTTAATTTGTTATTAAATACGTTTTTTATTACAAGACTTTTATGGAAATTGAATAATGCTTTCTTTATACTAAAAATACCTAAAGTATGAAGTATTTTTCAACTGACTTAAATGTAATTTTCGATCAAACTTAAACAAAATCTTTACGTATTTTTATAGCAATAACTTCTATATTCATCATTGCTTTATAGATTGGCCTTAACTCAATTCTCCTTTAAAGTCAGAATATTTTTTAGCTAACTGGAAAGTAACTTGTAACAAATCTCTTTTTTAAAATAAGTTTTTGTAAGAAGGCTTTTGAAAGATCATTAAATCTGTAAAGTCTGGTAGCTCTCCCTTCACATCTCTTATATAACGAATATATCTGGAATCAGTATAGTTCCAAATGTTAACAAATAATACAAATGATATAACTTCCGTCCGATATTAATGTGCTAATCATCGTACTTCTTAATATGAAACACCTTTTCTATGAATTGGATTCTTTTTTGTGGAACCGAATGACTGAATATTTCAACCAAAAGTGCAAATAGCGTACTTTTAGTTCTTATATTCCTTATCGAAGCTCAATCTAAATTAAGTGCGAGAATCTTATGTACCTTGCCATATATACAAATGTATCTCAGCTCTAACTACTAACTACTATAGTATGTATATCGAACACTACTTTATAAACATAAGCTAGTTAGGGCGTTACGAACTGTTGCAATGCGATAACAAAAAAAAGAAAGCGAGCTAGTCATCTTGAGTCAGAGTCAGGTTAAAACTATTACGTGATAAGCCTAAGACAAAGAATTTGTGTAAAATATAAAAACTATTTATTTTTGCTAATAAAGTTGATGATGAAGAAAACCGAGACCAACACATTCAAACTAAAGTCAAGGCAACTAGTTAACGGTAGCTAAAATAAACAACCCTAAGCAGATCGGGCTGTTGTTGTGAATTTGTGTGTGTGTGTGTGTGTTGTGTGTGTGTGTGTGCCTGTATGTGCAGATTTTCAGCTTCAGATTCAAACAAAAGACTTAAATTCAAATAAATATTGTATATTGCCGAGCACACATAAAATCTATGGCTTGGCATTGCTGTATGTGTGTGTGTGTGTTTATTGTAGGGGGCACTTTTGCGCCCTTACAATTCGACATGGGGTGAGTTGAACAATGGAGGATTGCCCGTCACCTGCCACAGAATTACAAAACGAATGTACCAGCAACAGCAACACAACCAACAACAACAACATCAACTGCAGTTAAAGCAGCTATTGCTGCGAGAAGACTGGCAGGCTGGCAGGCTGGCAGGAGGCAGCAGGAGTACCGAAATATGAGCCAGTGGACCTGCATGAATGGCTCTCAAATTATTTAGTTGAATGAACCGGCAAGAGTCGAAAAAGCATTGCCCGCTCTGACAGCCTAACTGAGAGACTGACTGAATGACTGACTGACATTTTCCGTTACAAGCTGCAAGGGTGAGATGTTGCTGCAGCCGTGTAAGATGCCAGGTTTTACGGAACTGCCCCATTTACTGAGAAACGACACAATTCGTTACTGAAGAAGTACATGTTTTCATATTTCTAACAATTTCCGAACGGTTCTGAACAAAGAGCACTTAACGTAAAGCACTACTTTCAAAAGACATAAGAAATTAGGAAAATTGTATTTTGCGAAAGCAACAATTCAAATGATATGAACTGATTTAATTAATTTTAAAGCAATACAGTACGTTCAATTCTCTTCAAATATTTTTGACAAATATTAAAAAAATATTGGCATCTAATATTTGTTTGTCCTGGAAATATAGTAGTTTGTATTTAAAAAAATAAAAAGTCCGGCTAAAGCAAACTTTATCGCAAATATTAGATGACAATATTTGCTTCAAATACTATTTCAAAAAGTAAACAAAGGATAATAGGGATTCGCAATTGGGATTTTATAAATAAAAATATAACATGGATAACACAAAAAATATGTAAGAACCATATTAGTGTTTGCCTAAATGATAATCAGAGTAGCGCATTCTTGAAACACACTTCGGTATTGCATATTTTCTTCCTTCACAGTTTTTAAAACATTTTTAAGTCTTTCATTGATTCGAATGCTTGCAAATGCTGTTGGAATTATAGTATGTGATATGATTGCAGGCATGGTATAGAAATGACTGTTTGGGAACCGGACACAATCATGTTGACTTTATCGAGTCAGCACTGTACACGCTTCTTAAACATAACTAAAGACATTGCGCTTATTCCGCTGCTGTGAGTAAAGCCTTTTTGTCATCTGAGCAGCCGGCAGTCTGTCACATCGGCATCGTGGCGTTTGTCATTTGTGCAGCTTTGTTGGAGGTGTTGGGATTTATCTTTACAATCATCATTATTATATATACAAGGCTCGGGCGCAGCATTGTCCTGATGCTGGTGCCGCATACAAAGGCGCAAATACGCAGCGGGTGTCCTGCTAAGCTGCATTCGATTCCAGGACTGAGGGTAGCCTGAGGGGCGCATTATAAGCCAGCCGGGCATCATTAGCGAGAGCGAGTGCTCCATAGTTTTGCCTCGGGGTAGATTGCTATCGAAGCATCAATGACGGCATTATGCGCTGTACGACTATGCTAATGTCCTATACGATATAGAGACTGGAAAAACAATTTTGCGATGGCTCGGAGACGATAAGGAAACCAAAATGGAAACAAATTGTTGACAGGATGCCGCACAATTCGTCAAGTGCAGGTCCTTTGGGGGTATTTTATGTGCAGCTCAGTGAATTTGTTAACACAAATACTCGCACAGAAAACGAACATTTGTGAGCATAAAAAAGATAAGCCATAAATTTGTTTTTACAATTTGTCATTGCTATTGCCATTGCCGATTGTCAATGAAATGCATTCCAAAACTAATCAAAATTTATTTGCCAAAGAGAACATTTTACGCCTTTTTAGCGAAAAACTAACATGCATGTTAGTATCGCAAGCATAACAGTGCAATATGAATTCATTTTTAACCCTTTTCGCACACGTGCAAAATCCTAACCCTTAGCCCTTGGCACACAAAATTCGCTTTGGTGCTGCAGCCAACTACACGTTCATTTTTTACGAGTAACTTACTCGACCTTTTCCATTTTTTGCACAATATTCATTGCCCTGCTCGAATTGGTTTATCTGTGAAATCTCTGACTGGTTGTTGTTGCAACACTCCGGGGTTTGTAACAGTTTCGGTTTCGAAGGTTGCCCTCCGCTTCTACCTACCTTGCTTGATTCTGAGTTGTGTGCTCATCTAACCGAAAAACATTGGATAAACAAACAGCCGTTCGAGTATTTTGTTACATTTTGTGCCGACTCTCTCGAAAGTGTTTCTTTTTTGTTTTATTTTTTGAAGCCAGCAGCCAATCTGTCGCATTCATGTGCATGTTGACTGTAAGGATAACGAGCGCGGGGAGTGTGTGCATTTGTTAGAGTTTCAACTCTAAAATGTTATGCAAGTTTTCAGCCGTAATCCGATCAAAGCGGTTTTAGTCAAATTTAAGTAGATTTGTGTCACATTGTAGCTGTTACGGGAAAAATGGCACACAACTAAATGTAAACACGTGTAAAGCAAAAAGCAGATCTTGCCTTTTTAATATTAATGAAATGACAAATTAAATACCCATCTCTAAATATTGTTGTTATTTACTGCTTTAATTTAACATATTCTTCGGCTTTTCGTGCTTAGGCTATAAATAGGTAGAAGCCAGAACCATTGGTTCAGTTTTATTTATTTTTATTATTTTGAGTTTCAAGTTAACTAATAAAACTAGCTATCTTTTAGGAATTTCTTAATAATGATTGAGCTTTCGAAGTTATATTCTCTCCATATCCAATTTATTGGGGACGTTTATATTCTTTCGAAAACTATTGTCTTGTCGTATTTTCTGCTTTTAAAAAATAATCAGGAGCTACAGCATTAGAGTATCTTGAACATCACCTACATCAACTTTTATTACCAGAAAAGGAGTATTGTGAAGCATTCAAAAAGGCATAATGGCTTTGGAAAATGAAGCTGTCGATGTACGGATGAAACTTTACAAATGGACAAGGACTTAGCATGTAAAGATGATAAGTTAAAAATATATAAACTGTGTATTATAATGTTTTGTAGTGAGAATGCCTCAATTTACATAAATCTATATATAACACTTCATACCCGTTGATTTCAAAGTGAACGCCGTAAGTAAATAAAATTAAATGCAAATTACGAAAAGCTGACAATGATTTTGAATCCCCTTGTATACTATATAAAGGTAATAATATTTTGTTGATATTTTAGGCGAATAGACTAGGCAATAGTTCTAATTATAGATGTACTCGATGACATTGGGAATATAATTCTTAAAAAGGGCAATATTAATTGTTGTGAGTACGCTTTCTAATGCATAGCACTTACGAAGCATAATACAAAAATTCTATCCGACCACTGCAGATGCTTTCAATTTTTTACTGAGTTATGTCTCCTCGCTTACCAAGCCCTCTGCAACCCCATTAGATATCCAGGCATAGCATTTCTTTTTCCAAATGAATAAACTGTTAGACAAACAATATATTAAACTTTACAACTTCACACCCGCTGCCAACATTGTATGCCAACCATTAGACCTGCCGTTGCCGAGAACGCAACCCCAGCGGCTCGTCCTGCTGCTGCAGTCTGTACCACAAACGATGACTTGATTGTTATGCAAATGAGCACAACCAGGACGAAAGCATGCGCGCAACCCCAGTGCGTGAAGATCCCAACTAGCTCTTGGCTCTTTTCGGCTGTAGTTCATCAAGTGCTCATAAATATATTTGTGCGATGCCAGCCTAATTAATATGCAGCGCCATGTGCATAATGAATGTGACATTTGTAATTTATATTTGCGTATTACTTTTTGTTCATCCTTTTTGTTTTTAAAACTGTGCGCTGTGCATAAATTGAATTAAAGGTTGGCGCTAAAATGTCGTCAAAACATCGGTTTCATGCCCAGTTATGGCTATTGTAAATAAAGGACGAGCGCAAAGGACCATTGAAAGTGCGACTGTAGCCGTTGCCTGATATGATGGCAGTGGTGGTGGAAAGTGATTAATGTCTAAGAAACTATCGAGCTACTGAAATTCTCATTGATTAGCAAACATGCGATGGCGGCTAATCTCAGCTCAAAGGACACTTCCGGCTTAGTGCGAAACGCGCGAAAAACTGGCGATTATATAACTCTATTCATCATATTTTCCGTGCACACCATAAAAAACTTGCAAAAAACTGCAATTTTTACCCCAAATTCCGAACAAGTATTTAACTGCAATTATTGTGGCGTAAATTGCTCGGTGGTAAGTCCCTTTTTATGGCACCTCGGCACAACGGCAAACAATGTGAGCGACCGTTATGATTTTCTATGTCCTGCTAACACGCAAGCGCAAGGCTTTTCCTTTACAATTTATTGTTGCCAGTGCAAAAGGAAATGGTCGATTTCCCCCTACGAACTGTTAGCTCATTAATTGCCTGCATTGTTTGACTTGGACATGTGGTCCGCTAGCTGCCCGACTGACTGACTGCCTGTCTGCCTGTCAAAAAATGAATCTAGGGTAAAAAGTTGATTTGTTTCTATTTACTCGGCACACCTGCGCAGAGTGTCGAACAACTTACGTATTTTTTGTCAGTTTCTTTAGGAATCGGCAGCAGTTTTAGTTACACAAAGCAATCTTGATTCAAAAGCAATACAATTATTTCTTTTTTAACTTACGTACACATTTTAACTGTAATGTCTAATACTTTGTTGTTTTCAGTCCAAAAATGACAAATGATTACAGAATATGTTATGTACGAAACTTAAAATAGGCATTCATTCAGTAATAAATAATATCCTTTTTTAAAAAAAACTGTGTTAACTCAAGCCTTAGAGTTTCGTTATATTATTTCCAGGCTTGGATTATATAAGTAAATTCTCTCTGGAAAACCGAAGTACTGTTTAATTGTGATCAACGAATATAATAATATCAAAAATTTTTAAAAGCAACAGAATTTTCTTTTATTTAAAAGCTCGGTGTTTTGAAAGTATAGAAGAAAAATTTTCCATGCGCTTGGAATTGACATTTAAGGCTACTTAAATTATTGTTTAATGAGTTTTTAGAAATCAGAAATATGCCAAAGGCTAGAATGTGATTTCAATTACATGTACTTTATATTTATATTTATTTTTATTTGTTGACATTGAATATTTAAGGTTTACAATATTTTGTTTATGGAAGCAACATCTTTTCCATCATGTCCATTGTGGATGAGAGAATATTTTTGGGCTTTAAAGGCCTTTCATTTTCTCACATAATGAATTTCCTAAGCCATTCTCTTAAAAGTTAAAATATGCTCAAAAATCATTTTAAAAAAGTTCTGCTCTTACCGTTCAGTTTGAAGTTTGAATAGTTCGTTTAATTTTCGTATTTTTTAGTTGAACAGTAAAACAAGTTAAACATTTTCCGACTTTGTTACATATTTCTATCGGAGCTATTAAGCCCCTGGCGCCCCGGTGTATTGTGAGTATTAATTACTGATTACTTCAGTTTTCCAGCCAGACCAGTCGTTGTGGGGTTGTCATGCTTTCTAGCAACAACAACAACAACGCAACAAAATCAAGCTATGTTGTCACTGTGATTTGTGAGTGTGATTTATTGCATTGACCGACATCATCAATCAATGCTCAAGTGGCAAATGATTAAGCAAATATTTGAAGCAGCCATCCTCGTGCTCTTTACATGGATCTTATGCTAATTGCAAGTACCAAAATAAAATCAATTCTAAACTCGCTGCCCGCTACCCGCTGTCCTCTGTCCGCTGCCCTCTGTTACTTGGCTGGTGTGTACTCGTACTAATAATTACAATCTACCCCCATGAGTGCGAGTATGTGAGCGAATGCATGTTTAATTTACTTTACTTTATTTTTCTCGTCTGCAGGCCAGCACTTGATTTCATGTTGTTGCTGTTGTTGTTGTTTTTCCGTTTTAAATAGTTATAAAAATAACTCCATATATGTGCAGAGTTCGCTCGAGCCAACTAGCAACAACCCCTGCGGACACTTCATCTTACTGTTTACTTGCCACACATCGTTGCACCCTTTGATTTGGCAGCATCATCCCCCGTGCCCGTTATTTTCTGCCCCTGTCCCTGCCTGGCAAGGCTACGCAGTTTGAAAATCTCTCTCGTCTATGCAGTTGCCAGGGGCTAATGAGCGCCGCACATTAGTTTTAACAACATATATTATTTATGGGTTTTTCGCTCCTTTTCCCCCTCTTCGGGAGGAGTTTCTACTGCGTTTTCAGAATTACACAGTGCCACATTTTCTGATTTTAAATTAAAATTGCAATCATTTTCCACATCCCAGTTTTAATTGCAAATGAGAAAGCTCGAGAGCAGCTTGGATAACTTGGGAGTGGATGGAGCTACTGACGCTTAATGGTAATTGAAAATGTTCAACAATTTGTTTCGATTTTGAACTTGGGATTTAATCGAATAATAGTAATAAGAGCAGCTTATGCTTTAGATTGCCTTTGATTATGTTTCTCCAAAACGGAATAAAAGTCGTGTTCCAAAATTTTATCTGATCAAATTGTAAATTTTGCTTTAACTGTATATACCATTGAATTTCTTCTAACTACCCCTTCTCCTATAACCGTTTAATCCCATCTGGTTTATGGTTGAAGACGCATTTTATAAAACTCATAAGTAACGAATGTGCTTACAATATCTTTACAAACTCCTAAATATCAGATTACCTTAAGATATCTTTAGATGAATAAAAAAGTTATTCTACCTATTATAATAATAGCAATGTATTTTCTACTAATTGATATTGTAAACATGATAAGGATATAGAATACTGGGGAAATTGCTTTCACAGATGTTCTCCATTTTCGCGATAGCAGTAAGTGGTATTTCTAATTTCTAATTAAAGGCCTCTGATACCGAGTGGTTTTACATAGATTTAAAAATAGAAGATCCGCTTTGATGTTTTGTGTTAAATGCTATATGAAGAATGGCTAAAGTGATCATTTAATTTTTTTTTGTTTGGCAATTTGTACTTATATCTCAATATTAAAAAATAGTTGTCTTGTACATAGCTTTTTATGTCTTTTCTTTGTAAACATTTAAGTCTAACGTAAAGTATGAGATATTCGAAGACTAGCAATAATGAGAATATTTGTAAGAAAATGAAAAAAATAATCGTTGCGCCAGAACCCTCAATAACATACTATTATTTTGCGTTTGGAGTAACCTTCAGTTTAGTTCTGCTCTTTTTTGCCCCGCACCTCACTTTTTGTTTTATGTTGATGATTAAAACTCATTTGCATAGCACTTCACATATCTATAGTATAATGAGGAGACACGAAAATAGTTGCGTGTATTTTCCATTACAATTTATTTGCACACATGTTCACATTCCAAACCTACTTATACTAACACATACAAGTATACTATATACACAAACACATTGCGCACATAACATTTATAAATATATTTACTTAACGAGAAAATAAAAACATATGCATTCTGTGTGTGGTTTGAAAACTAAGCTTCGAAAAACACGCAAAGGGCGCCCTTTTTCAAGAAGAATGCTGAACTACTACATTTAAATGTGTATTTATTTTGCAGCCGTTTATCATTTTATTAGCAAACAAACTATTGGATAAAAAGGCTAAAATATAAATCTAGACGTGTTAAAATTATCGCGGCAACAGGATATCATTTAAGGGCAAATGACACAAAGAAATGACTCGCTCATTTTTGTAACTTAATTAAGACTATTATTTAAATTGCTATGTCGACTTTATACACTTTAGTTTAAATTATCTTAAGGCGTACATACTAAATCACATGCATACTAGTAGTAGTATGCATAGTATGGACTGTTTGGCGTGCGCGCTCACATTTCCAACCCGTTCCTCGGGCTAGCCCAGTTTGTAAGTCTTTATCATTAATCTTGAGCACTAAATTTCTAAAGTTGTGTTCGTTTGCGTGGTCAGTACACTACGCTAGACCGGGAACTGCTGGGCCATCTGCTAGAAGTGCAGAATATTACTTGCGGCTACAAAGGTCCGTAGATGGGCTCCGAGTAGAGGACGGCGGGCATGGAGTAGCTATAGGAGGGAGTGTGCTCTGTCGGTGAGCGCAGACTTGCCTGAAGACTGCGTTTGCTGTGCTGCTTGAGTCTGTAATAAGATAAAGAAGAAATATAAGTTTTAGTTAAGCTTAACTTTTCTAAAATTATATACTGGAATAACCCATTTTTGTTCCTAATTTAACATGGATTCCTACTATAAGGCTGCTCGAATACAAAAATGGAAACCAATCAATTTTTTTAAAAGACATTTTTTAAAAGAAACTATACTATTTCCGAAAAAACGTATTGAATGCCACCAAAATTTATAAATTATTTTAAAATAACAAAATTAATCAGCAAACTAAGTTCGTCCAAAATTTCACTTAATCTTTACCTAAAACATGTTTGCAGTAATGCAAATGAAATATATATGTACTTTGAAATAATTTTAATGAATTTTAGATAACGTGTATACAGCATTCATTAAGCAGACCTATCAGTATATTTTACGAAAACGTATTTCCTTCTTTAAAAGAAAATAATCCAGAAAAATCAATATACCTTAGCTGGGGATATCCACAACTTTACAACATCGGCCTGAATATTCTTTCCATATTTGTATAAGGCAAGCTTTTAAATCGGATTGTTTAATTCATGAACAAAAGTATCAACTACTATTATTACTGAGAATTTAAATATTTGATAATGTGTATATTATTCCTAAAAACTTCAAAAAATGAATTGCCTATAGGTATCATTATTTTATGTTTATATAGTACTTTTAATTAATTTATGCAATTCATCAATATTCCATATTTGAATTGAAACAAAAAATGCCACTAGCTCAACTTTAAGAAGCTTTTCTAAAAATGAAAAGTTGGAGTAATACTGCTTCCGGTCAAGACTGCAAATGTAACTGTTTTAGAGCAAATAAAGTGAGTATTGCATCTGGACTTAATGTGATGTTATTAATAAGTTTCATTGAAAAACGTTTTTCTCGACAGGTCTCTTTGAAAAAGGGCGGTTACATTTGGATAAATTCCAGTATCATTATAAGGTAGCATTATTATTATTTATTGTATGAAATATTGCTTTCCATGCATACGAGTATATTGTAATATTTTATGCTATAATTACTGTATGTCCCGATATTTTTAGTAAAAGATTAATGAAGTTGAGGTTGTAGTTTGCTACTCACTTCTTCTTCAGGCAACAGGCTGTACAGAGAGCAACAAGGGCAGCCACTCCTATCAGCGCCGCAAGAAAGACCAGCCAGGCACCTGCAGATGTCAACATGCCGGCAAACAAGGCTGCAGTGTGGACCTTTCGGACCGAACAGGACTCCACTTCGCTCACTCCATGCGCCGCATAGATGTCGAGGAGCTCCTGACGCAGTTGCTGCGAGTTCATCAGCTTTTGCATTTCCTGCAGGGGCAAGGCCATGCCGTTGCGGAACATTTGAAAGCAGGAGCTCGTGGCTGTGAAGTCCAAACTCATGTCGGAACGCGTAAAGACCTGTGTGTCGAGCACATGCAGTTCCAAGCCTAGAGGTTTCAGCTTCTTCTGCAACTGCTCCTGGAATGGGCGAATGTTGTGCTGTATCTCGTTGGGAGGGCGTGCGAAAACAAATTTCAACAAGGACTTGTCCCGTATGACAAAGACCTTGAGATTATTGTGCGCATGGCGCTTTGGCAGAGCTGAGTTGTTGGCGGTCACACGCATCAGGAAGTAGCCATCGACGTAGTCAGAAAAGGAGCCACCAGTGCGTAGTTCACCCGTGCGATTATTGAGCGTGAACAAGTTTTGAAGATTTCCCATGGCGAGTTTGCGACTGCGCTTATAGAACTGTGGCACAAAGGTCACATTCTCAATGGACAGAGTAATCGGCGCGGCCTCGGCATCAGCATCTCGAGCCCGCAACGTGGTGACTACTGTGTCGATGGGCACATTAATCCGAATCCCCACGGTTGCGTCCTGCTGGTCGAATTGCGGCAAGTTGTCATCAATGTCCAACACTTTAATGGTGAGCCGCATATGCGAAGGGTCATGTCGATCGTAGGTATCGCCTATGAACTTAATGCCCGACTCGCCAACCTTTAGGCATTTAACTGTCAGCGTGAACGATTCAACGAGCTCGCGATCGATGGGCTGATTGGTCTTCAAAATAGCAACGCTTTCGTTGGTCCGTTCAATAGCAAAAAGCTGCTCGTTATTGCCTTCGATAATTACATAATCTATGGCTGCATTCTCCCCCAGGTCCTCATCAATGGCACTAAAGTTACCCACCACAGTGCCCGCCGGCTGCTCCTCGCTAACAGACAGCACCAAAGGGCCCTCGTCCTAAAAGAAATTAAATATTAAATATATGAATTAAATATGCAAGTCAAACTCAATCGACATACAACTTCTCTTGGAAATCTGGGCACATGATCATCCACATCCAGTACTTCAATCTGCAAGATGCGCGTCACCGACTGCTTCGGTTGTCCATTATCGCTGACCTCCAGCAACACATTGTACATGTTCTTTTCCTCACGGTCCAGCGATTGTCGCGTAGTTATCAGTCCTGTGTGCGTATCTATGGCAAACACTTCGGCATCGGGCGTATCCGGCAATATGCGATAAGTTATGGTGCCCGATGGCGTGCTGGCATCATCCGGATCGCTAGCCAGCACTTGGAAAACGGGCGCACCAACAGCAGCATTCTAGAAAAAATGAGATTTTGAACTCAGTAAATGCATAGCTACCATAGTCAGGCATGGAACCAACTTCTCTGCCTCCTGAATCTACCTCTTTAAAGATTGATTTCAGAATTTACCTTTAAGGGGCTTAACGCTTCTTTTTACTATTTCTTAAAACAAACAAAATATTCGATATACTAAAATACTTGTTCCTATAACATTTGCCTAATTAGTCTTACTATCGAATCTGAATGTTTAACTCACCTCCGTCACATTTGCCATTTGTCCGACTCGAGGCGATACGAAGTAGGGTACACCGTCGTTGGCGCTCACATCACCAATGAAGATTTGAACATCGACATCGGTTGAGAGTGTGGGCTGCTTGGGCACCTGATTTCCATTGTCCTGAGCACGGACAATCAGTGCGTAAGGCTCGGCACGACCTTTACCAGTCAGATTGCGACGCGTAGATATCAAACCGCTTTCTGGGTTGATCTTAAACAGACCGTTGGCTTCACCCTCGTTTGCAAGCTCGTAGCGCACTTCTCCACCGGGCCCCTCATCGGCATCGGTGGCCTGTAGCTGCAGCACAAACGTGTCTATGGGCGCATTCTCCGGTATTACTGTGCTATATTTCTTCTGTCCAAACTCCGGAGCATTGTCATTCACATCGAGAACATCGATAAGCAGTTCCACCACGCTCTGTTTGGAATCGGTGGGCTTTCCCGGAGAGTCCTCTGCCTTCACCTGCAGTCGGATGCGTGGAGTGCGCTCACGATCGATGGTCTGATTGCGGGCCACGATCACTTCCCCGGTGGTGCTGTTAATCTCGAAGAGCGCTGCATGCTCACCCTGCAGCGAATAGACAATTCTGTTATAACCCAAGAGCTCGTCGTGTTCATTGAGCGCCGCATCTTTGTCCTGTGCCTGCACTCGCATCACACTCTCTGGGTACATTTTGTTCTCTATGATGGTGGCGTGGTAAGAGCTTTGCTCGAATAACGGACTATTATCGTTTACATTCTCAACGGTCACGTTAACACGAGTAATAGTGCTTCTCTGACGATCAGCGGAAGTGGCCCGAACCTGCAACTCAAACTCAGCGCTACCACTCTCCGCCAGAGCTTCATAGTCCAAGCGCTTTTTCAGAATGATCTCACCAGTGCGCTCCGATATTTGAAAGTATTCCAATTCCTTTGGCTCTACCAACTCAAAGCTAGTAATCGGTTGCTCATTAACGGGATCTTCAGCTTGAAGTATGAACAGCGCGCTATCAATTGGCATTTCTTCCTTGATTTTAATATTGACAACTGGTCGAGAGCTCGTCCAGCCAGGGTTATTGAACACAGGATTGGTATCTTTGAACGATTGCACATAGACCGTAACCTCAGTAGTATCAACTTGCTCCTCCGGTGCCACTTCCGCATTCAAATCCCGAACAGCTACGGTAAAAATGATAATGGCTGCCACATCATGACGCAGCGTACTGTTCACGAAAATCTCGCCACTCTGGCTATCAATGCGGAAGGCCTCCTGCACCTTGTAGTTACTTCGATTGGCAATGCTGACGCCGGCTTTGGTGGTTGCCTTAACCAAGCCCTGCAGACTGTACTCTAGTCGGGAGTTGAGATCCTTATCTATAGCCTTCACCCGCAGTACGCTCTCGCCTATGGCGGTTCTTTCTGAAACATAGGCCGCATAGTTGGAGTGTTCGAATTTCGGTTTCTCATCGTTAATGTCTTTAACATTCACATAGACAGTCGTGGTTGCTGTTTCAGGTATGGGCACGCCCGCATCCACCGCATTCACAATAATCTCAAAGCTATTCATGTTAGAGTCGCGATCGATGCGTGATTGCGGTGAGACTGTGATCAAGCCGGAGCTGTAAGCAGAACGAAGGTCATTAATATTACAAGTTTCAGAGAGATCTTACGGACGCACTAAGAAAAGATTTTAGCGGAAGAAGCGCGGCATAAAAAAGATATATTTACCACTAAGTATGACTCTAGCTCTTTGTCATCCATTAACTCTCTATTAATCATTACACATTTTTTAAAATAACAGACATTGAAAAAGTTATATTCGATACAGAGAAATAAAGAAATGATTAGGCACTTATTTAAGTAAAAGATAACCCCTTTATAAAAATAAAATGGATAAACCTGCCTGTCCTAGAGGAACCTTTACTTGAAGTTGGGGCTTGTTTGACTTTCTGATTAAGAATAGTATTAATTTATTGTTGGACCCAACTTACATCTCATTTATTTGGAAGTTATCGTTGGCGCCCACAATTCGGTATCGTAGCAGGCTATCCAACCCATCGGGATCATGGGCAGATACTGTGGTAACATTGTAGCCTGGGGCTGCGTTCTCGGGTATGGAAACACGGTAGCTGGGTGGTCCCAATACTGGAACATTTTCCACATTCTGGAAATGACCTCTAAAAATGGGACGCTGATTGCCTGAGATGCCGACTCGAACCAACACTCGTGTGGTAGTGCTCAGTGGTGGTATACCTAAGGTAAATAAATTATTATCATCGAATCAATCGCAATTAGAGATTAAAACTCACCAAAGTCAGTTGCTGACACCTGCAGCTCGTACTCGCCCCGTTCCGTGTCCATTGAACGCGCTGCCTTCTGCAGCGTTATTTCGCCCGTCTCCTCGTCAATGCGGAACACATTTCCCGCAATGCTGTTCTCCGACACAATGGCATATTTCACACGCCCATTACCCTGACTGGGACCGTCGGCATCGCGAGCCCGGACGAAGAATTGTGGCTCGAAATTTGAAGCACCTTCGCGTATAGTTCGGCTGTACTCGCTGTTTTCGAAGCTCGGATGATTGTCATTCACATCAATGACATCTACGAACAGGTTGGCGTTTGACTCACGTCCTCCCCCATCGATAGCAACAACCGTGAGACTGTAGCTACTCTGCTGCTCGTAGTCCAGAATCTTGCGTAAATATAGGCCACCAGTTTCGGGATCCACGTAGAAATTCTCAGCGCCAAATCCCTTCAATATGTACTGCACATGTCCAAACTCCCCTGCATCCGCATCCGTGGCATTCACATAGCCGATGAGCTCATCGGCTGTGAGATTCTCTGGAGCCGCAAACCGGTAAGTTTGCTGAGCAAACACAGGTGAATTGTCATTGGCATCCAACAAATGAACTTCTACACGTGCTGTCGACTTTTCCAGTCCATTTACTGAGGCCACCAAATCGAACTCGAACTTGCGTCGAGCTGCGTCTGGTACATCATAATTCAAGCGACTCGAATTGACGACCTTCACGACAACTGGTGTGCGACCCTGCGCCTCGGCTGGCGCCACCTCAAAGACACCCGCTGATTGCCACACATCACGTAGACCCAGTTCATAGTGACTATTTTCGCCCATGTCGCGGTCGTCAACAAAAATTGAAAGGCCCGGTAGCGGCATGCCATTACCTAAATTCTCCGTGATCGAAACATTGAAGTGTGAATCATTAAATTCTGGTATATGGTCGTCTACGTCCGTTACTACGACGGTAACACGTGTGAGCGAGTAGTCTGAAGGTATTTCGCCATCAATGAGTTCCGTGGCGCGTATGGAAAACACATAAACCCCGCCATTCTGAAGTATTTCCGGGTTTTCGCGATCCAATGGCTCGTTCGTGGTCTGCAACATAGCAGTGCCATCTTTGGGATCACCATACGGGATCAATTCGAAGTGACCAAATGGCTCGTCCTCTAACGAAAGGAAAATATCACGAGGTATTCCGACATCCCCGTCAATGGCTCTAATGGTGAGAATGCTTATGCCTGCCGGCGTGTTTTCTGCCACGGTTGCCGAATATGGAGCATTTGTGAACACGGGCGGATGATCCTGCACATCGATTACATTAATGGAAATGGTGGCAAACGAGCTGAGACGATTCTCCGAAGCACTGTCCGATGCGATGACAGTCATAATGTACGAAGGTCTGCTCTCAAAGTCCAGCGGCTGCTTTAAAGCCACGCGTGCCGTGTAGTTACCCTTTCCCAGTTTGACAGCCCGGACCTCGAAGGTGTCGCAAATGTCGTTTTCCTGTACAGGATTTGAGATACGATTGACTTTTATTTAGTAGTGCTAACAATTTTAAACTATGTAATATCACAAAAGTGGAGAACGATTAGTATTTTTAAAATGAGCAGCGGTAGAATAATTTTGAACAGGGTCCGGTACTGATTGCAGTTACTTGGTTGAGGTGTTCACATCTAGTACAAGAGTTGGAAACATGAAGATATTGGCAAAAATACAAATTAGTTTAATTGCGTGGGTTTTGGACGAATAGCATTTTCCAATACCCTTTTTGTCCGAGAAAGGGGGTCTTACGAGTATATACATGTAAAGGAGATGTAGTAGATGGAGTTATTGGGCAAATGCTTTTACAAGAACAAAAGTTAAGCATTTACGTATAAAGATAGTTCAAGGACGTCTCTTGTTCTTTGATTTCTATGTTGAAAATAAATTGCAAATCTAGCTCTTTCACAATCGTAATAATTTAAGTGCAAAAGTTTCCACTGCTTATTTCGATGATTGATTCAATATTTTATCGCTTGCTCCAGTTCAATAAGATAAGATAAATTGAGATTTGATTCCATAGCGCTATCTTGCGAAGCTGCAACTTACCTCCACACATTTCAGTTGCACCTCCGCATTGATGCCCTCATCGCGATCCATGACAATAATCGGCGGTTCGATGGTCAATTCAGCTCCCACGGGCAGCGATTCGCTGACACTCGCCGAGTACGGGCGTCCGTAGAAGGTTGGCACATTATCGTTGTAGTCGCGGACTGGAATCTCACGGCGCAGCGAGACCGTATTTGGTTCGGTGCCATAAACACCCTCATCCGTTATGCTGATAATCACCTCCACAATGTCTTGGGCCTCACGATCGAGCTCCTGGCGCAAACGCACAACTCCCGTCTCACGATCCACTGAAAAAACTGGGCCGGATATACTGTACTTGAGACGTCCGCCCTCCGGGTCGATGCCTGACGTGAGCATGGAAGAAAAGTGTAACAAATTAGTTGAGTACGAGTTGACAAAGAACGCACGCGACTTGGTAATGTCTACATAAAGGTGTGAGTTCGTTTGTATACATAGCTCTGTGTAAATGGCAGTAAAAGCAGTTTGTCGCTTGCCACTTTAATTACATTCGCTCTCGTGTGTGTGTGTGTATATTTATATGTGTGTGTGTATGTAATTTTTACTGTTCATGGAAGTCGTTCAGTAGTACTACGTTTGGCGAGTGTTTCTGTAAAGAGCGTGTGAAAAATGCTAATTAAGTTCCCACAACCTTATTCATGGCGTTTCTAGTCTAATGCTCTCTGACTTTTAATGGCCTCGCCAGTTTAGTTGGGCGTGGAAATGGTGTTGCTGCCTCATCTGTAAGTTTGGTCATAAACCTATGTACATATGTATTAACAGTAGGGTCTAAGTAAATGCAAGTGCCGGCGCTGGTGCTGGTGCTGATGCTGGTACCGTTTCCCTACAAATTCTGTGACCCATTCCAGTCATACGAAATTTCTCTTTCTTTCTCTTCTGCCTTTTTTGCTCCCTCTAATAACAGGAAACTCACATGCATACATATTTACAATATTCATGCATCAAAATTCCAAAAAGAAGAAAAGAATCACTGCTGGGGGCAGGCACGAAACCCATTAGAAAAGAAATAGACGGGTAAAAAGAAAGAAAAACAAATGGCCTACACGTCCCCGTCGCACCGCGCTCCAAAAAGCTTACAGAAAAAACAAACCCTAGACATAAATACGAGTACATCGTCTGCAACTCCAGACTAAACAAAACAAGAAATAACCAAATAAAAAAATAAAAAAAGACACGGCTTTTGGCACAAACACAGATTTTTCAAGTTTGCTTTAAACATTTTGTGACCACGACGGGGAAGATTCGGTTGGGACTGACAATTGCAGCACGACAACGAATACGAAAATATACAAGCCACAAAACGGGAAGCAAACAACACGTTCTCCAGCTTACACCAACTTACCAATTGTGGTTGACCGGCTGGCCGTCTGGCTAGCTAGCTGGCTGCCTGGCAGTCCAGTCGAATGGGTGTCTATCTACTATGTCCATAAGACTGGCCCCATGCATTGGCGCGTGAGTTGTTGTTTCCACTTTTAATGTACATAATCATTTTTGTACATATTTCTTTTTGGACTTTACACATTTTTCATGATTTCTTGCCACCGTACGTGTATTGGCGTGATTCAGTCTATGCTTGGTTGCCGTCATCAGCGGCCTCTCTTTTTTGAGGCGTGGAAATTTGAGTTGGCTCTGTAATTGCATCTATACTTATGTACTCGTACTCATATGTATGTTGAACAGCTTTTCTACTTTTCACTTAATCGAAAGAAAAAAATACAGACGACTGACGAGCACCTGAGGTTGTTGGTAAGAAAAATAACTTGTGATTTCATGCTTGGCCAAGCGTATTTGTTAATATTTTGTTATTTATTACTGCGCATGGAAACAGAAAACGAAAATCACCCGTAACACCTCATAGCCTTCCAGCTGGGTGTACGTGCAATAATTAACATTACTACAGTATTTATTTTTTATGCTCTGTATTTATGGATATTGGTCAGATCTTTTTAACCGCCACCCAATCATTACCGAATAATCAAATAAAACCATTCTGTCTGAATTAAAATCTTACCAAACTACACTACACATCACTTATTTTGAATATAAAAGGGATTTAAATAAAACATGTAAGCAATTATGTGAGTTTTGATGTTGTTGGATTTCATAAAAATTAGTTTGTGGGTTTGTGGAAATGTATCTACGCATTTCAATATAAATTTATAATATTGCCCAAATTTATATCAGAAAAGGAGGAATTTTAATATTATTTCTACACTAAGTCAAGATAACATTATATTGATTACTATTACAATATACATTCATATAGTATATCGATCAAGAGGTTTTCTATATTGTTAGCACATTACTATTAGAATATAAATACATACATATACTATGATTCCCTTTAACGAACAGACAAAAGCTTTTGTTTCAATTCGCATTTTTCCGTTTAAGATTTATTTAACATATATAATATCTTAAGGTTCTGCCTATGGTTATATACTCGTCGGGCAACAACAGCTGTATCACCTTTCGGGACTGACAGGTGATGTAAAATTATAAATACTCTCCACAATATTCTTAGTATGCAGTTCCAGTCCCACTACTTTTATAAATAAACAAGTTATTGAAACATAAAATATTTTTATGTAATTAAGTTTACCAATACTGATCTGGGGGTTTTTTGCGAATACGGATTTAAAAAATATATTTTAAAATAACACTTTTTAGAGTATAAATTTCTTACACTCATGAGGAGTTCAATGTTGTACGTTTTTTAATTTTTGGGCACATCAATAATAACAAGATACTTTGATAAAAATGCACTTTGGGTTCACCCCTATATGTATCATACTAAATACTGCTTTGCTCTTTCCAATAATTACATTCAAACAGAAAACAAACATGTTTATACAAAAAATACAAATAGCAAAAACAGTAAAAGTGAATTAAATTATCTTGAAATCTAACAAAATATATACTAGTATATATATTATCTATGAATTTGAATAAGAAAATAATATCTACTTGAGACAAAAGACGCTGCAAAAAGCATTGAAGAAAGTCAAATATTTTGAGAAAAACGTTTTTTGTTTTCTATATTTTGTTTGTCAGCATTATCAGCGTTTTATTTTTCAGTTTCCCTAGAATAGTGCTGTTTTGTTTATCAATTCAAAAATTCTCTTTAAAGCACGCCTCATATCTGTTTCCCCATTTTGAAGTCTGATTGCAGACCCAACATTTGAGCGTAAAAGCAAAACGAGTTCAACTTTGGGAAATTGTTTTTGTTAATTATATTAAAGACAATGGCATATCTCTAAATCTTCACATCTAATTTATTAGAGGCTTGTAGTTGGCACTAGTGTCGGACCCAGCCCCAACTAGGTCAAGGCAACTAGCTTAGTCACTCTTTTTATGAAACTATAGCATAATATGCAAAGCTATAATTTACCAGACACTATCCATGTTATGTAACTTTATTCATGGCTGCCAATCAAAGTATTGAATTATATCAAAGTATGCGCTCGTTTCAATTGCTTCCTGCCCACAATTTAGCAAAAGCAATTTTAGCATTTGTGGCCAGTTTTATGTGGCAGTCTTATTGCTTTTGATTTTCCCCCACAACTTAGTTGGAGCTCGGCGTTTTGTCGTTTTCCATGAAACTTTTCATTTCAAACGCAGCTAGCTGTAAACGTGTTTTGTATCTCACGGATGCAGCTTGCAAAACCAACCAACTAAGAGGCCGCTCACCCAACGCACCACATCGAAACAAGCACATACACATACACACACACACACACACACACACACACACAAACTATAAAGATGCATTACTAACACACATCGACATTCATTGAGCTTCCAGTGCAATTTGGCACACGCGCAACGCCAACAGAGTCGACTAAAACAATGAAGTTGATGAAGTTGCTCCGGCGCGACCCACCGATGGTGATGGTGATGGCATCGAATTGCAGAGCCCAGGCAACTGGAACTGGGCTTCTGTGTTAGGGTGTCAACGGCATGGCTATCACACTTTTCAGAAAAACATGATCTCGTGCAGCTTTTGTTTGACTGCAGTTGCCGCTTGCCGCTTTTGTTGAATAATAAGCAGCGACGAAATGTAATACCCGACACTCTCATACGAGTTGGTAAAGTGTTAAACCACAAGCTGCACTCTTAATGAGCTGGCAGCAGTGGCTTTCGAAAGGAAGCGATTGCACCATACTAATGCTATCACTAACACTGCGAATAGACAGACGACTTACCAGCCTACACACTTCTTAATGGAGCTGGTGATGTCTCATGGTCCGACCAAGTAAAAGTTTCGCACGTTCTAGCTGCAAATAAAAGTGAGCGCGCCTGGCCATTATCTCTGGCAAATGGCCAGCACTTGCATCTAATGGCACCACAACAATTGCCGACCACAATTGTGGTCATTACCATTGTCATTATCGTGGCTATTGCTTTATATCTACATATGTGTATTGCAAATACGCATATACGTGTTCGAAGCCATTTCCGCGTGCTAATTCATATTAATGCACACATACATACTCGTAGATACTCGTACATTCACGTAATTGTATTTAAACAACTCTCTTCATTTTTTGTCTCCGGCATTTACATGGTAATCTGATTGATTTGCTGCCCAAATATCGTCAACAAACCGCATTCTTATGCATACACCGATAATGCAAAGTAAACAAATCCGAAAAATAATCAGTGCAACCGCTTTTCACACAAATTCTCGTGCACACGCCATAATCACTATGTTTATACTTGTAGGTTTATAAAATCTAAATTGACTGTGTTTATCAGTTAACTGAAAATTTCGCTTCCCAATTTTTTTATAATCTGCTTCAAATTTGTAAGTTTTACCATTTCCTACAATGCGCATATCCAATATCGTTTAAGACAGTCAAAAGTGAAACTGATTGGTGATTTCACTTAGATAAGAAGGAATTATAAAATACAAATTTGTTTATGCTTGATATATACTTGTATATATATTGAATATTCTACTATGATATTTAACTGTGATACTACAAATTTTGATTAGAGAGTAAAATGTAAAATAACATTTAATCAATTGCTCGAGTATCTAAGAATCCAACCAGGTACAAAAAAAAAAGTAACCCTTTAACCAGATAGTGGAACTCTGCGAAGATAAGTCAAGAATATTTCCTTCAGATAGGTATTAGGAAAAGTTAAGAGTGGGGTTATCTCAATCTAAGCTATAATTCCATTTTTAAGACAACTACTATTAGAAAAAGTTCAAAAAACATTTATGCATAAATTACACATTTTTCATATCAATTTTTATACCCTGTATTCGAGAAGTCTAAACGCCAAGTGTCCGTCGATATGAATTCCGAGAACTTTTGAGCCTCACTATATCATATAGTTTCCATAGAAATCATCCGTTTATAAATTAATCTTATTTTGTCTTTTCATAACCCAATGTCTTAAAATCTCAAAAATAGATAAACAATATCATCAAGCAGTTGTTTTAGTTAAAATCATCGCATCTTTATACTTGTATGAAAATTATCAAATTGCTTTTAAAACATAAAATTCGTCGATATTATTACTTTTACGACTTCAATGTTATATTGTTGTTTAAAATTAGTAAGTGTTGAACAATTTTGAAGACAACAATTTTAAGAAAAGTTTTTTTTTTTTTGTATTATTCAATTCGGAATTTGATGTTTACCCAACGCGCAAAGAAATTAAGTAATACTTTTTAGATACTTTTCTTACTAAATATACGAGTATATTCTTAATATAGTATAAAGTTAGTTGCAATCTTTTTCTACCGCTTATAGCGACTTGTAAGAGGAATAGAGCAGTGTATAATTTATGGATTTTCGCTCAACCCACCTCCTTAAATCTAATATAGATATATATAATTTAATGTAAGCAATATCCATCACTGTATATGTACATGAAGAAATATTAAATACAAATCATACACAGTAGTGTGTGGACAAACCCCCAAATATAACGCCACGAGGTTACGAGTACGCCAAAGTAGGTGGTGTTGTGGCGAACCAAACGCTTAATTTTCAGTTACGAGTACTATGAAGTGAGTTTTGAAAGTCAGCAACGGTAATTTGAGGCATAAAAGTCAACTTACAAAACAAATACAACAACGTCAAATGACCAGAGCAGTAGGTGAAGAGCGCGTTGAACTGCATATGCATAGATGTAGGTAAGTATATAACGGTGTATATAACATATTCAATTATGTACTTATTTCATCTTAATAAATAGACAAGCAACGAACTAACAACGAACTTGCACACTTTTGCCATTGAGCCACTTAATCAGAAGACAAAAAGCTGCAGCTATGCCAAATAAGCAAACACACACCAATACATATAGGTATGTATATAAACATGTACATATATAAAAAACTTTTTGCAGCAAGTGAAAGGCAGTGGCCATTCGGTCACCACAGCGCCCACTAATTGCGTGGGAATGGGGTTTTTGTTTTTCACATTTTGCCACCATGCAGCGTAATTAAATAATTTTTAGTTATGAAACGTGACCATTTGTAACTTTTTGCGTAGCTATTAATTACAGTTGACCCTTGCATTCAAACACATGCCAACCACGACCTCTGCACCATATCTGAGTAGAACTATTCATAGTATAGTAGTATTCTACAAAGGCCGACATACTATACAACCTTCTGTTTCGAAGGAAAATAAGAAAAAATATCTGTATTATAATATTGCCATGTTACTGTTGCTTAATCAACCGATTTCATTAGAGTTCTGGTATTTTTATGGATATTATTGGGTTCAGCTTCCAGGTATCTAGAGAAACTACAGAAGCACACAAAATTTGTATAGAGTTGATAATGTCATCTTTCGTTTCTTTATCTACATATCGTTTTCTCTAGCATCTTATGACTATTATATTATTATATTCGTACTTTTATTTACTCACTAGCTATTGCCAAGATTTTAATTAGGCGATAATATCCGAATCTAAACGAATCTAATTAATAAAATAACACAAAATACAAACTGATAAGCAAATGGCGCATAATTTTGAGCTCAAAGCGGCAAAGACTTTTACTTTCACCGAGCAAAAAAGTTAAGTATTTTGCATAAGAATGAACGCAGCGATTCATGTATATAGAGATATTTAATCCTGCTTCCCAAATATATATATATTAATCAAATTTAAACTTAATTACGCGGCTTTTCTTTTGATATTAAATTTGATTTATAATTCACAAGTAATTGTAGCGTAAGAACCGTAAGAGCATGCTATATTGCCGTAAACAGCAACTGGAAGATAGCGACACACAACCGGAACATCGGATAAATGGGGACATTAGACTCTGTGACTCGACACACTTTTGGAGTTTCGTGTAATGGTAGCCCATTTCAGCTTCAATTCTCATCTCTTTTAATGTGTGTTTATTTTTTCCCAATAATCAATCATTGTTACTCACCTTTTAGCTGATAAACTGGACTGCCGACTGGCGTGTGCTCCGAAAGGCTGAACCGCGCCATATCTCCAGTGCCGGCCACGAATTGAGGCGGATGATTCAACAGCTGAGCCTTGGCCAGACCGAGGCAGCTGCAACCGAAGAGCAGCAGCAACTTGAGCGGCAACATGTTGCTGTTGCTAATTTAATGCCGTTATTTATTTATCTATCCGTTAGCTGGAATTATTTCTTCTTTTTTTTTGGTATTTTCTTTAGCATTTAGCACAACACTTGGCACAATCCACCGAACAACATTTGCTTTTGTTTTAAGATTATTATTGTGTTGACTGTCCGCATGAAAAAGTGTGAATATTCGGTTAATTAAATAAAGCATTTTAAGTTTCAATGCTACAGCAGCACACCCAGACAGCCTTGGACAGTTTATCGTAAAAGTATTAACAACAACAATGACTTCAACAACGCAGCCCATTTGCGCCAACTCAGCGAAACGGGCACTACGAAAAAGTCGCCCGCGTCTGCATATTTTCAAATTCATCGGCTAAGTAGTCTCTGGCATTTGAAATGTTGTTCAGTTGACCTCAATGGAAAAGTCACGCATGCGCGTAACTTGGACAGTGTTTAGTGAATTTGGATAGCTATTAAAAACGCATTGTTTCCCAATTTTGGTAAAATATTCTAAATGAATGCTGAAGAAATTTGCCTGTGCTAACAATTTCACTTTACACTATACTACTTGTATATGCTCGTACGCACACACATGTGAAAAGTGGCACATAATTATGAGGATGATGATGATGCTGATGCTGCTACCAATGATTGGACGGACGGGCGCTGCTCAGACCAAACGATTGGCAAATGTTGCGATGGCTTTCTCGCACAGCAGCCATAAAGGCCATAAAGAAAGCAAGCAGCCGAACACCGAAATGTGCAAAAGCAGCTCAAATAAATAAACGCGAAAACGCAGAACTGGTTGCTGTGCAAACACAGGCTCAGGCGCATACTAGTATGTACATACCGACATATATACGATATGTACATACATATAGTAGTATTTGTGTACATTCGAATCTGTGTATGAGATACACAGCACGTTATGTGCGCTATGGCTGTGCTTGGCAAAAGGAAGCAAACACAACTGACGGTCAAAACAATGGATGCAAAAAGAAAAATATGTAAATGATTGCAACCAAGTTCTAGGTGACGAGGTGACGAAGTAGACTCCTTTAAATGCTTCCTGTTGACTGCATACTTTTAAAAGAGCCTGGTAAGTAGCGTTACTCCCAATAAATGCTTACTTCTATTCAAAAATTGCTACAATTCGACACTGCGCTGCAAAAAAAAAACGCAGCGCAAATCACACACTCATACACAGACTATTAAGTACACAAAAAAGTATGACGCCAAGTCCGAAACTTGATCTTGCCTGACCGCCGTCGCTTTAATATTTTGTGTAATTCTTGAAATAAATTCGCTCCGAACGCGGTCACATGCGAATTGCAAGCGCGATAAACGTCTGGACGGCCCAACGCTCGCTCAACTTCTGTTTTGTGGTCGTTTTACCTGTTGCCGTTGCCGCCTGCCATTCTTGGCCAACTGCTCGCTGTGTGCGGGTCTTGAGAAATACTGGTTTTATGTTATTGCCGGTTTTGTTTTGATACTCATTCCGCGCATGCGCACCGCTCTTTTGGCAATGAAATCCACGACCCGATCTTAACAAGCTACTGAGAATGCCCAAACATCGAAGGTGGCGTTAATTCTGGCTCCGAGTGCCTCATTCTTTAGACTCTCATTTGGTTAGCAGAGGCAAGAACCACCGACACTATACGATATATACGATCTCTCTCTCAATTTAGTAATATTATTGAGTTAGTGAAGACATGTACTGCAACATCTTTTAAATGGAAAAACAGTATTTTTTTAAACTCATAAACCTTAGCTCAGTGTTGCGATTGAAAATTTTACCTTTAAAAGAAGTTTTGGTAAAGAATTTTAAAGTTTTGGAATCATGAACATGAGTAAGTTGGGAAATATTTGTTTGAGGTAACATTTTAGAATTTTAAGTTGACACGCCTTTTATAGGTTTGCTACTATTTCTGGCGCTTGTTCTGATATTTTTAACATCGGCACTTATTACGACCTCTTATCAGCAGAACGAATCGATATAGTCATGTCTGCTTCTTATTCGGCTCGCTTGCTTGCTTCTTCGTTTAAAAGCTATCGCACTAAAGTTTTGAGCTTACGCTGTTTATTCCTACCAATTGAGAACTGATATCAATTTTTACCCTGATTTCATTTTTGAGATTCAAACATATTTGATTCAAGTGAGAACAAAAGACGATAAGACCACGGCCTTATCTGCATTACAATTTTTAAATATCTTGACTTCCACTGCAAGTAAGTTAAAAATGTATTAAGCTGTATGTTGTTAAAACAAAAATTGTTAAATTTGATAGTTGAAAGAGTTTGTTAGATTGACAAAACTGTTACCCAATACGTACAACTGGAACCTTTTCATATCTGATACAAACATAATCGCAAATTTTTCATAAATCGTTTACTCTCAGCCTCTCACGCCTGTCGCCAACAAAGGTGCTTTATTAATAATTTGCAGTCGACATCATAAGTAGCTGGCACTAATCGTAAGTAGCAAAATCAGCAAAGATCCACATGATCATGCTTACGAAAGATGATATCATGGTTTAATGCTAGTATTGCTACCAAAAGCTCTATAACATTGCCAAAAAGAAGATAATGATCGAATGAATGTTAGCGATTAATGTTTGTCAAAAATTATGACTTCAATATGCATATCAAAGCACCTTGAATCGTTGTTTAACAAATTTCACTTTCATTCGTGTTCAACAAGAGCCGTAAAAGTATGACAAGTATTTCTTATAATATTCTTGTTAACCATTTGCCCATCATTGGATTCAGCATTTATACTTGTACCTAATTAATAATTGAAAATCCTTCATAAAAGCAAAAGCGAAGACGCACCAAACAAGTTTATCTTCTCTATCGTATTGGAGTAGGTCGCCTATAAAAGCAGACAGATTTCGGTAGTGGTCAAGCACTCGTTGTTTGACTACCGCACGGAAAACTCAGATACAATATGAAGTTCATCATTCTTTTCGCTGCTCTCTTCGCCGTTGCTCTGGCTGCGCCCGCCCCTGATGCAGAAATCCTACGTCAGGATTCCAATGTACAGCCTGATGGCTACAATTTCGGGTAAGCTTTTGACATCATGAATACGACTGTCGACTAACTCAAACGAATCAATCTTATGTACATCAAATATTATCCGTCGCACAGTCTTGAACTCACCGATGGCACGAAGAAGGATGAGCAGGGAAGTCTTAAGAACGTTGGAACCGAACAGGAAGGCATCGAGGTGCGCGGCTCCTACTCTTGGGTGGATGAGAAAACCGGCCAAACATACACCGTTAACTACATTGCCAATGAGAACGGCTATCAGCCCCAAGGAGCCCATTTGCCCCAGTAAATAAAATAATGTTTAAGTAAAAAATAAATGTTTTATTTCAAACTTTTAACGCCCTGTATCCGGAGAATGAAGCTTAGACGCCACGTTTGATTGTTATAATCGGTAACGGATGGACATAATTGCTGGGCCATCCGTGTGAACATTGATAACTTTTATTTTTCGATTCAATGTGTTCTGAAAGTATAATTTTATCAGTACACTCCATCATATGATTCAAAACAAAAGTCCTTAGTCGCAACAAATTGCATTATTATTGCGACATCGAAACAGTGTCTAGTATTTATAAAGATATTTTGTTCACATTTTTTTTAGCTTTATGACTGTTTCAGCTTATAGTATAAAAGTAAAATAGTTCGATTCGAGAAAAACTCTAAATTTCCTAGAGCATTAACTCTTTCATAATACAAATCTCATTAGAGGTGCTTACAATTGAATGGTTATTTAATAGAATAATCAAATCTTATTGAGATTCCGATTATTCTGTATCGGTGTAATCATGTCATGAGCTTTTTATATACGAGTCTCCCACAACAGAATACAACACTATTTAAACAGTAAGCACAAAATCGTGCAGATAATTGCTGCTTAGAAATTACAGAAAATGTCAATTTACGAAACACCTGAACACTTGATTTCCAGCATCAATACTTTTAACTGCTGCTTAAAGTATGTATTTGTAAATATTGAAACGTCTCCAAGAATCTATTTGATTCAGAAATTGATTTAAAATGAATGTTTAATATTTTTATTTGCTACATATATACAGAGCACTAGGTTCAAGTACTAACATTTAAATGATTTATACTCGCAAATTATGATTATTAATTACTTTCAAATTTAAATATCATCCTTCACTGAAGACTCTGCCATGTTTGCAAGAATGCTCAACGGTAATATGACAATTATTTTCACATATTTCCGCGCTAAATGATTTTTGGTGTTGCAATTAAACGACCCAATTACTTTTTAACTAGAATCATTTTCGCCAGTCTGAGACTCTCCAATGTTTCTTTTAATCCAATTTTATGTATATGTATGTATATGCACATATCTAGAAATTATCTTCAAAGGGACCAAACATTTGGGACGATAAATTAATGCTTACGATTATCTTGGTATACTTATCTTATATTGTTGCACAACCTCTACCCACTACGTCAGATAAATAGAAAAGTCTATTATTAAACCAAAAAAAAAAAAAAATAAAAACAATACATAGAAAATCATAACCAAGACATAAGCCGGAGAAAACATCAAATTTATTTGATATATGCATATCTCGATCGCTCGATCCACAAACGCAAACATTTATAATAAATATGATGGGATTCGCTCACCATTCTTTTGTATCAGTAGAAAAGAACATTTTTGACAGAAAAGTAAATTATAATGTGTATATTATAATGTGTATAACGAATTTGTTATTTTGACAAAACAATTTTAGAATTGCATTGAAAGTGATTTGTGCCTGTGTGGGGAAAGCTTAGTTGAAAGCTTTATCAAGAATCAACGGACAGTAAAAAGCAGCGTTGATTAGCGTCAGCACAAAGCGGAGGCATAAACCATTTACTTATTCGTATTCATCAAGCCCCACATATGGATTAAAATCACTGCGATGACACCAAAATGAATGCTGACGACGCAAGATTTAAAGATTTGTCTCACTTTATATAAAAATATGGGGCTAAGGGGTTTTAATATGGGGCTTTAAAATAGCACATGAAATAATAAACTTTGTGTTCGGAAATAATGTGTTAAGTACGTAACTGTTATGTATAAGGTATAAACTGTACCCAAAATATGCATGGATTTTGAATCATTAAAGCTAATACAATTTCCAGTTACTTGTCTAATATTATAAGAAAACTATAAGGAAAATCGAATAAGCATATAGCAACATTTAAAGTTAAAGTTCAACAAGTCTGCAAGCTCATAAACATAACCAGCTCTAAGTTAATCAATCTGCATAAGTTTTGCATACATTTAATAATAATTAAATTTTATTTTACCATTTATGAGAGAGTATTATTCATCCGAAAACAAAAACAATTTTTGGCAAGTCGTTGTTTTTTTTTTGTTGAACTTTTTTGGAGAATCTAAAATATTTTCTTTTGTACTATTATTTTTTATTTCCCTATTCATTTAATTAAAAAAATCAAACTAAAAATGTACATATATTAATGCTACATCTTAATGCTCACTACTATCAACAGCAAATTAAACTTTTATTCCGTTTTCTATCTCAAGAGATGCATTTATACAAAATTTATCGATTGCACAAACGGAACTATGCCCATTTTTGAGAACTTTTGAACTAGACAATACTTTAGCCACAATTGCAAAATAAAACATATACCTTACGTATATATCCGACCAAATAGATAATATAAAAGAAAAAAGACCACATCCAGAAAAATGTTAAGTTATTCAGATATCCCAATAACATATTTTAGTCGAACGGATTTAAAATGTTTATATTTATAGAGAATGCCAGTTTCCAAACGTGTTTTTTTATATATCACCAAAGACTGGATTATAAATTTATTTCATTCTTTACTGTATAACTTTTTCTTCTGAATAAATACAATTTTCCTAATGGATTGAGGTTTCATATTTTCCTTATAATATACAAGTATATTGAGTTTTTAATACCATTGCTGACAATATGTTAAATTAAATTTTTGGAAAAATAAACTTCATTTATTATATTATTAAAATGCATATAATTATTGTGCAGGTCACGACCACTGTTACTTTCATGCATCTTCAATGCTCGTTTGATGCCAAAATCCTCTTTTTTTATTGTTCTCGTTAAGCAGCGGGCGGGTTTTAGTTTCTATTTCCATGTACATATGCAAATGAGAGCGTCATTGTATTTTGTTAAGTTATATACTTATTAATATTCGGATGACATTTGCAATATGATGGTTAAACTAGCTGTGGCAAATGCATTCAACTCTTGATCGGTGAAACTAGTTTAACTTGTGTAGCATATGCTTCGGTTACCTATAAAAAGTCGCGAATTTTGGCAAAAGTCAAGCATTCGTTGTTCGACTGACCTACGAAAACTCAACTGAAAATGAAGTTCATCATTGTATTCGCTGCTCTCTTCGCCGTTGCTTTGGCTACCCCTATCAACGATGCATCGATCATCCGTCAGGATTCGGATGTGCAGCCTGAAGGCTACAAGTTCGGGTAAGTTATCTAGAAACATAATTGAGGACATAGTATTAAATTAATTCTCATGCCACCGTAAAGAGTTGAAACCAGCGATGGTACAGTAAGGGATGAGGATGGACAGCTGAAGGACGTCGGAACAGAACATGAGGCCATCGTCGTGCACGGCTCCTACTCCTGGGTGGATGAGAAAACTGGTGAAAAATTCACCGTGACCTATGTTGCTGATGAGAATGGTTTCCAGCCACAGGGCGCCCATATTCCCGTTGCTTGAATAAATTAAAAAATAAATAGAAGAGTTTTATTGAACATTTTTGCCTTTTATTTCCTACAAAAGTGGGGTATGACATAACCTAGAACACTGTTGAATAACTAACCAGTTTTCTACAACAACAAAAAAAACAACAGCAGGTTATTTTCAAGCTCATTGTATTTAGGATCAGATCTAATTTAAATCTTTAAGTATAACCGTATATGTTAGAAATGTTCTATAGTATAAATCTCGATTACTATTGTTATTAATGACATCACCCCCAATGCATATCTTTGATTAGTTTCTAAAATTCAATATCGCACAGTTGACAAGCTAAAAACTGTTTTAAAGGTCTCAATATATTCACACGACTATACAAGTAAGCAAAGAAACTATAACATCGCAGGAGGAATAGCAATACATCCGCGTCGCAAAGAAGTTTTTCTTCAGATTATATTTCATTATTTTTTGTATAATTTCTCCAAAGATTATATATTATGTTTTTCTTTATAGTTCATCTAAAGAAATATAATCTCTGCTCTTGCTCTGTTACGGTCTACCTATTTCTTTTAATGTGTATGTATGTACATTTACCTTGTACCCTCAGGAGTTAAAGGCTATATGTACTTGGCTTGTGCGTAGTATAAATATTCATGACAAAACCATCCGTCCATCTGTCTGGATGATTTGGATTTCAGCTGACTACAATAATAATTTTGTTTAAAATTTTCAACGTGTCGAGTTCTGTAGCCGATTAAAATATATTTTCTTCACATACTTTTAGGCTGTAAACTTTAATTAATTTGTTTATATTGGATTTATGAATAAATGAAAGACAACTTAGAACCAATTGCAAAATTGCAGTATATAACAAACAGTATTTGAATAATTAAACCTACTACTTATATTTAAAGCGCATCATCAACCTGAAATTGTATCAGATCTTCGACGGGAAATCGAAATAGCGAAGCGGTTTGCGCCTCCACCGCCAGCTGATCAATGTGCGCATTGCTGTTGTGGCGGAAAGTATTACGTCTTTCTGTCGTCGAGGGCAACAACTCCAAATGGTTGCCCGTTAGTGCGGCTGGTTGTGGCAATTCCGGTGGCAAATCAGCGGCCACAATCGGATGTTCAAAATCGAGAAGTGGCAATGGTTCAAAATTGTCACTACGAGAGATGGTATGATTCGCTTGTTGCTGCGTTTGATTCATTTGTATGTGCTGCTGCTGCTGTGGTTGCTGTAGCGCTGCAGTGCTCGTGGAAACTGAAACCTGGCGCGGCTCTATGGGACTGGGCGGTGCGGGCAACTCATTCGTATTCGCATTGCTGGTGAGTCGCTGCATATTATTATTGCTGTAGAATGGATTGGTTGAGGCTCTCACAGTGGCCGTGGGCTTTTGTTTGGGGAAAACGTTCAAGTGCAGCATGATCTGATTGGACTGGGTGTCCGGACCCTGTTGCCCGCCATTACTGCTCGGATGGGCATAGACACAGTCCTCGGGCACGAATGTCTGCTGCGGAGGATATTTTTGAGGCTGATAGTACATGTGGTGTTGAGTGTAGCGTGTAGCCTGATCCGGAAATCGCACTGGCATCAGACTAGATGCTGGTGTAGGAAACTTAAAAGGTGTCTGATAGATTCCACCTCCCTGATGTCCATGTGCGGCTGATGCGGCTACCAAAGGGGCAGCCGATGGCGCATGTGGGGCCATGAAGTCTGCTTGAAAAGGATGCCGCAGCACAGAGACGGGTCGAGAAGGTGGCAAGTGCCGCATCTCGTCCTTCATGGTGGGTTTGAATTCCTTTGTAGGGGGCAGAACAGGATAAATATCAAGATTCACTTTGAAGGGAACACGTTTTAGATGGGGTTGGTGTGTGGCATTAAGCGAAAGAAGAGACGGAATATTTGCAATGCCGTAGGAATCTGTAACAAAATGTTGCTGACTACCATCGGGGGCATATTGTGGATATTGCTGCTGTAACTTCGATTGTTTCTTTTTCTTCTTTTTGGCGCCCTTACTTGATGGCGGCAACTGTTGCTGCTGTAGGGCCAACAAATTGATGTCGTGAGGAGAGCGCGGCTTGAATGGATACAACTGATCGATGGCTACACGCTGATGAGGTAGTGGTAGACCATTAAAGTATCCACCAGGTTGGTGTGGTGGTCCGAAGAGCTGCATTGGCATGGCCACGGGCATGTGCATGGGCATTGACAATGGAATGCTGAGCTGCAATTGTTTCTTGTGACGTTTGCCACGAAAAAAGTTCCCCAATCCACTAGTCTTAAAATTTTTAATACTGCCTGCAATATGTAGTCCTGTAGGCATCATCAGTAGTTGTGGTAGCGGCGGTGGTGGCAGCTTATTGGGTGCCTCACTCAAACGCAAATGCTGTAATATATCCTGTATGTTATTCAGCTCGGGCGGCGCACCCTTCTTGAATTGCTCCGGCAACGGACCGTCGTACGGAAAGTGGAAGGGCTTTGGCTTTGGGTCGTCTCGAAGCGCCAGGCTGCCCGCTGATTCCGAGTACTGACGTCGAAGCAACGCCGTCGAAGCTGGTCGCTGTGTCGACAAAAGGCGTGGAGGGCGTGGCAACTGATCGCGCAGGATGTCTTTTAGCGGTGTCATTGTCGCCGAGCGCTTAGGCAGCCGTTCATAGAAGTGCTGCTGTTGCTGAACGCCAGGTTTCGATTGTTCATCACTGAGTGCATTATGTGTGGCCATCGATGTTGCATGATGCAGTGATGCACCTCCTGCTGCTGCTTCTTCTGCAGCTCCTCCAGCAACTAGGGGCTGGGGTCGTCTCGCTTTCGTGCGCCATGTTCCGTAAATGGGCTGCTCGCGCGCAGTGTCGTCGGCACGCTCCAATAAGTATGCAGTTTCGCCGCCAGTCGCGTGTTGTATTTGTTGCAGCTGTTGCAGTTGTTGCTGCTGCATCTGCAACTGTTGCTGGCGATATTGTTGCTGCTGCTCGTGCTGTAGCTGCTGTAACTTGGCACGCATCTTGTCAATGTTACTGCGTTCCGCTTCGTGCACCGAACTGTAGCTAGTATTGTCACTTTCAACGCTGACTTCTGGCGTTGTCTCCGCCTCCACTGCCTCGTCACCTGAAGCTGTCACAAAGGGGTTGTTGACTAATTGCTGTTGCTGATTTTGTTGCTGTTGCTGCTGATATAATGCTGCTGTCGACGCGACCTTGACTATCATGAGAGACATCTGAAAAATTGAAAGTTTCTTTTCATATTGTAATACTTTTTTGTTGTAGCTTGCTCACAATTGTGTACACTAGTAAGATGCCCATAATCCAATTAGGTCTGGGTCTTTTTAATTTTCCAATGCAGCGCTTCAAAGGATGCAGCAGAGTTCTATAGCTTAGCTTTGGCCTAATAAACATGTTTCACTTCGGCTGCAAGGTGTGTCTCACTCTATTGCTAAATTTCAACCGTTTCGACGCGACTTCTGCATCATCGCGAATCACAAAGACGACTGCCTGCAGCTTGGATATTGCAGCTCCTAAAAAGCTAAGTATTTGTGTTCAAATAACTACGAGTACATGCTACTGTTGGCTTTCAGGCTGCGTACGTCTGCCACTAATTAGAAAGTTTAATAGTTTGGCTATGAAAGCAAAATGGGCAAGTAAATTAATTGCTCAAGTGTTTTCGTGACGGTGCCGTGCAGAAAATAAAGAGATATTATAGACGCAGCGACCATGAAAACTTTAGATCTGATTTACACAATGCAACTTTTTTAGCATGCGCATGCGCAGCCCAATCTACCGGACATTGTAGACTCGTAGAGTGGCAGTGACGGCGTGAGCCCATTTCCCGATTATCATTTAAAAACACATTTTCACACATTCGAAAAACTTAATTTATTGTTCAAGATTCAGCAATTCGAATAAAATAAGTTCGTTTAAACAGTTTAAAACATAGCTACATAGTCTTGATGCACAGTAGTAAGAAGATGGGGAAACAATGAAATACATTGAAAAGTTAGAATAGACAGTAAATTCACAATTGATACAAAGTGCTCTCTAATTTTATACGCTTCTTCAATAATTAATAAAAACAAACCAGTTTTATTCTTGCCGACGCTTCAATGGTTTCGCGATATTATAGCACCCACGTGAAGCGTTGAAAAATCTTTAAGACTGTATTGACTAGATGTATCTAGCCCTGGACATGTGGTTGGTAATGTGTTGCTAGATATAAAGCATCAGTTACATGCATCTCCTCTTAGTACAATATTATTTCTAGTACAAAAGCGTCACACACCGATCCCCGTCTGCTGAATCGACGGTGACGGGTGTGCAAACTTAGAGGTTGCTTAGAACTCGAATGGGATGCTTGGCTTGGGATATTGATAGCCTGAATGTTTGGTCGTTGCTGGTGGGAGGGTCGGTGGACGAGTTGGTGGACGAGTCGGAGGAGGTGTAGCTCTTGTGGGAGGTGGAGTTGGCTTACGCGTGGTCACTGGAGGGGCTGGTTTGTTCGTAGGTGGCAAGTACGTTGGTGGAGGACGAGTGGGGGGACGAGTTGGGGGAGGAGTGGGAGGACGAGTTGGGGGAGGAGTGGGAGGACGAGTTGGAGGACGAGTGGGTGGTTGTGTAGCTCTTGTGGTCACTGGAGGCTGTGGTTTGTTCGTTGGTGGCAAGTACGTTGGTGGTGGACGAGTGGGTGGGCGCGTTGGTGGACGAGTGGGTGGCTGAGTAGCTCTCGTGGGTGGTGGAGTCGGCCTGCGTGTGGTCACTGGAGGCTGTGGCTTGTTCGTAGGAGGCAAGTAAGTAGGAGCTGGCGTAGTAGCACGAGTTGGTGGTCGAGTTGGTGGACGAGTGGGTGGCTGAGTAGCTCTCGTGGGTGGCGGAGTCGGCCTGCCTGTGGTCACAGGAGGCTGTGGTTTGTTCGTAGGCGGCAAGTATGTTGGTGGTGGACGAGTTGGAGGACGAGTTGGGGGTTGAGTTGGGGGACGAGTTGGAGGACGAGTAGGGGGTGGAGTAGCCCTCGTGGGTGGAGGAGTCGGTCTGCGTGTGGTCACTGGAGGTTGTGGCTTATTAGTTGGTGGCAGATAGGTTGGCGCTGGAGTACTTGAAGGACGGGTAGGTGGACGAGTGGGTGGCTGAGTAGCCCTGGTGGGTGGTGGAGTAGCTCTCGTGGGTGGCGGAGTTGGCCTGCGTGTCGTCACTGGAGGTGCTGGTTTATTCGTAGGTGGCAAGTATGTTGGTGGTGGACGAGTGGGTGGACGCGTTGGTGGACGAGTTGGTGGACGCGTTGGTGGACGAGTGGGTGGTTGAGTAGCTCTTGTGGGAGGCGGAGTTGGCCTGCGTGTGGTTACTGGAGGCTGTGGTTTGTTTGTAGGAGGCAAGTATGTTGGTGGTGGACGAGTTGGAGGACGGGTGGGAGGACGAGTGGGTGGCTGAGTAGCTCTCGTGGGTGGCTGAGTAGCTCTGGTGGGTGGCGGAGTCGGTCTGCGTGTGGTCACTGGAGGTTGTGGTTTATTAGTTGGTGGCAGATAAGTTGGCGCCGGGGTACTTGAAGGACGGGTAGGTGGACGAGTGGGTGGCTGAGTAGCCCTGGTGGGTGGTGGAGTAGCTCTAGTTGGTGGAGGAGTTGGCCTGCGTGTCGTCACTGGAGGTGCTGGTTTATTCGTAGGTGGCAAGTATGTTGGTGGTGGACGAGTGGGTGGACGCGTTGGTGGACGAGTTGGTGGACGCGTTGGTGGACGAGTGGGTGGACGAGTGGGTGGTTGAGTAGCTCTTGTGGGAGGCGGAGTTGGCCTGCGTGTGGTTACTGGAGGCTGTGGTTTGTTTGTAGGAGGCAAGTATGTTGGTGGTGGACGAGTTGGAGGACGGGTGGGAGGACGAGTGGGTGGCTGAGTAGCTCTGGTGGGTGGCGGAGTCGGTCTGCGTGTGGTCACTGGAGGTTGTGGTTTATTAGTTGGTGGCAGATAAGTTGGCGCCGGGGTACTTGAAGGACGGGTAGGTGGACGAGTGGGTGGCTGAGTAGCCCTGGTGGGTGGTGGAGTAGCTCTAGTAGGTGGCGGAGTTGGCCTGCGTGTCGTCACTGGAGGTGCTGGTTTGTTCGTAGGCGGCAAGTATGTTGGTGGTGGACGAGTGGGTGGGCGCGTTGGTGGACGAGTTGGTGGACGAGTGGGTGGCTGAGTAGCTCTGGTGGGTGGCGGTGTTGGTTTCCGTGTGGTCACTGGAGGCTGTGGTTTGTTCGTAGGAGGCAAGTATGTAGGAGCTGGCGTTGTAGCCCGAGTTGGTGGGCGCGTTGGTGGACGAGTGGGGGGTGGAGTAGCTCTCGTGGGTGGCGGAGTCGGCCTGCGTGTGGTCACTGGAGGCTGTGGCTTGTTCGTAGGAGGCAAGTACGTTGGTGGTGGGCGTGTGGCTGGGCGCGTTGGTGGACGAGTGGGGGGTGGAGTAGCTCTCGTGGGTGGCGGAGTCGGCCTGCGTGTGGTCACTGGAGGCTGTGGCTTGTTCGTAGGAGGCAAGTATGTAGGAGCTGGCGTAGTAGCACGAGTTGGTGGACGAGTTGGTGGACGGGTAGGTGGTGGAGTCGGTCTCCTTGTGGTCACTGGAGGCTGTGGTTTGTTCGTTGGTGGCAAGTATGTTGGAGGAACCGTTGGAGGACGCGTTGGTGGCCGAGTTGGTGGCTGAGTTGGTGGACGTGTTGGTGGCCGAGTTGGTGGCCGAGTTGGTGGCTGAGTAGTGCGCTTCGGCAGCTCAAATGGTACATCGGGAGGTGGGTAAAAATAACCCTCGGCTGCACGAACCTTACGCTAGAATTCAAATAAAATCCATAGCTTATTCAAATGTTTCCTTCAGCTAGTTGGGAATGCTTACCTCATGCGTCTCAGCTATGGCAGTGCCAACAGCCACGACGCAAAGCGCCACGACAAAAAGTGCACTTCTCTGTGAATACAAAAGTTAAAGAAAATAAGAAAACAACAGTTAATTGTTTGCATAATAAAAAGTAAGTAAAATAGACGTATATCCGCTGAAGAAAATAGTACATATACGAACATCTTTTATTCCCACACTGAAAGTATGAAGCTCAAACAGCAACGAGTAACTGTGGCTCGACGATGACACTTAATTGCCCAATCGAAATATCAGACACTTAGTTTTTCACGCTCTTGTTAAAATTGGTCAGAATCTGAACGGAGAGCATAAAGTTTAAAGTGCTGAGCCGCCCTGCCATTGAACGCTACAGCTTGCCTAAAGATCAAAGAATCATTTGCATACAGCATTGGGCGCCATTTTAATTCGGCACAAAAGCAACAAATGCACTCTAAATCAGCTGAAATGTATATGGGTAAAACTGAAGACATTCAACTTTGACAGTATCTCTAGGTCACGGCAGTCGTTTGTCGCTTTGCCGTCCACTCCACGAATATCTGTGTGAATTTTGTCATTCGCCACTGCTGCGGTTATTTTTGTTGGGCTCCAAATTTACCCACGGGCTGATTATAATATAACGTGTGATCATTTATCAGCACTAAATAAATTAATAAATATAATAAATTCCAATTTGTAAAATAAAGGAACCACCAACTCTGACAAAATAAACATATAGCTTCCGCCTTAACATCGATCCAATCTCGGCTCTCAACTCTTATCTTTTGCATTTAAAATGCCAGCCATTTACATTTCGGCAAGGTCGTCGATCGTCGATCAGCGACGCGCAAACAGCGCATAGTATTGTCAACGAAAGTGGCCAATGTTTGGTCACAATTAATTAGCTGATTCTTTTATTAAACATGGGCAAGAATCTTGTATAAATTTGGATATAAAAATAGCTATTATGCAACAAACCGGCTCTGCACGTATCAATTTATTTTAATTCATCTTGTCTAGTTCTGGCCACAATGCCAAAAAAAATTACATAATAGCCGCAACACACCATAAAATCATTTTCAGCATATAAGCTGAAATTAGCATAGGCACTAACAAAAATCATAGACAGCCATAAAAACGCCTCGGGTGTCGTTTAAAACCAAATTTTGTTTAATCATAATATATAATATACGAAGATTTCAAATCCATATGTCCATACAAGTTCTACTTAGCAACGTCTTTTCGTTTTTCGTTAAACTTTGCTAAATTTAAAAGATGTTTTAACTTTTGTATGTAAATGAAATGAAATAATTTATGTTAATGAATTTCAACTTTTTGTTGTTCTAACTCGTTTGATGTTTAGGAATTCCAAAAATCAGTCGGGTTTGCATCAACTGTGTGCAAATGAGGGAATTGAGAAGGAATTGGTAGAACTTGGACTTGAAAACTGAAAGTGAAAGGGTTGCACTGTTGCAAGTATTTTGGGCGCCTTCTTTACATTGAATGTGTGTAATGGAAACGATGGGCCAGACAAGCTTGCAACTTTGTCAAGTTTTAATATTGAATGAAAATAAGTGGAGATATGACACATTTTTGGTTATCTTTTTCGTTAATTTTTGCCATTAACAGGTTGCTTTCGATCAGTAATTATGTTAATTTACAACTAATTATCTTGTTTCAGGGGGACGCTGATGCCTGCAAAACTACATACAAACAAGAAAGGCCTTGCATTCATATCGATATATTCAAGGACGCACTTCTTTTTAGGTCATATAACATGTTAAGACAATAAAATTAAATTGAAAAAAAAAAAAACGAACTCCAAAATGTAAACCATTTTCATTCACTGTTCATTGGTATTGTTGCTCAACTTGACCGCTTCATTGATGTAAATTGATTTTGTCAAGAAATAGCTGTCATTTAAATGTTTACAGAGCAGATATTAAGTCTCACTGCCCAAAAATTATAAGCTCATTTAAATTTGAAGTCTTCAAAATGCTGTTATTAATTTTTTCCACGCTTTTTATTGTGCATGCGAAACAAAAGACTTAAGCAACGAACTTGAAAACATAATTTGTAAAGTTTGCTCAAATAAAGCTCACATCAAGTGTCGATTTAGGGTTTTAGCAAATAAGTGTTACAATTGCAAAGTATATTTTCAAAATTCATTACTATTAAATAAGAAATAGTCAAATGCTTAACAAAAGACGTTGGTAACAAACTTGATAGCAATGACAGCATGAATAACTCGACTTGGAGCTGATTTTATGGTTGTTTGCCTAAATATGTCAATTTAAAATGTCAGTTACTGAGAAACATATGGAAAAATGTGCAATGTAAGAAACACGTTTTATTATTTCTTGAATTGCGAAACTGACTTATCAACAGGCAGAACAAACTATATTCTGTAGCTGTTAATGACTTAATGCGCGAAGATTGACAAAAAGTAGCAGTTTGCAATTAAACTGCTGAAGATTCACACAAATAGTGGAAAAACACACACCTGCGTAGCGCAACACACTCTATAGCGTAACGTGTGGGCGCACACGGCGTATGCATAATATTGTGGCTGGGGCCATAAGTGACAACAACAACGTCTCTGCTTGTGTATATTTGCTTCATCTTGCACTTGCACAATTTTCTTTACCACCAAAACGTAAATCATAGACTGTTTGAGCTTTAAATGTCATCGGGGCCCATCGTAGGATGTCGTAAAATGCAAATAAACAAATTGAAAATCGAACTACAGCACTCTTCGACTTTAATTGGTTTGTTCAGCTGCTGCACAAACATGGAGCAATATATTTGTTTATTGTTCATCTTTCTCTCTCATTCCACGAAAGGTCTCACTTGTTTCACTGCACTTTGCACAATTTTGAGTTTTGTCCCTTTCTTTTATTTATTATTTACCATATTGGGCACTTGTCACTGCTACAAGCTGCTGCTGTAGACTGCGAATTTGAGGACAAAATTTAGTTCTCGAATTAAAAAAGTAATCCTTGTAATCCTTGATGCGGCGACCGATCGCATCAAAATTCAATGCACAATTGAATTTGACCGATGCTAAGCTAAAGTTGGTTTAACTTCTAGGTCGAATGTGGGATACCAACTAAAGCAGCAAAACTTATAGATTTTCTATATATACTCGGGGCGTTTGCTGCGCGCGTCGACTGAGCTGCTGCTATCGCTGCTTCTGCTATGTCTGCGACTTGGGCGACAACTGTTAACACACACAGTCTGGCCGAAAACCAAGAGTATCTCACATTTAGCAGCAGCAGTTGATGAAGAAGATGCTGTTGCGGCTGCGCTGTCGTCGTCTCTGCCAGACTGGCTGACCAACCAACCAGTCCAAGTCCAAGTCATTTAGCATGCCAAAAAAGCTGGCTTCGCCGCTTGATGCTTGCTGCTTGCTGCTCGCTGTAGATGTTGCTCTTGATGTTAATGCTGTTGTTATTATTGCTGCCCGATGTTTGCGACTTAACAGTCAAATAACATTGCGAAGATGGTCGCGCACGCGTTAAAACAAAAAGCACAAACCACGTATAAATTAAAACAAAAACAAAAATAAAAATACAAAATCAACAACAACAATAACAACAGCGCGCAATTGCCGCGTGCCTAATTTATTTCTGTTGTTGTCACACAGCTGTTGTTGTTGCTTCTGCTGCTGCTGCTTCTGCTGTTGTTGGCATTTCTACTTAGCTATTTTTATTTAAGCAAATAGCTTATTAGTTATCTACTCGCACACTTAAAGCAGACACTTGGCCGGCAGCTAACACTTGCGCTTGTCTTCTTGAACTCTTGAACGCCTAAACCATTTTTGCTATGCATAGTTTTTTGTATTTTTTACTACCCAGCTTGGCGCACTCGTCGCACTCGTGGGGTGTTAAATATTTGGTCATGCAGCGCTTAATTTGTAAATGAGATTAACAGTGTTTGTCATTCGGCTTGATGTTGTAATTTTGGCAATCCAGCCATCGTGTTCATCAATCGTTTGTACCCAAGGCTTTGAACGAATCGCATCAGTGGCCAAGGTAAATAAATAATAAAAAAAAATATGAAATTTCTTGGCTTGCAATGCATTAATCACCCCAAGCGGTCACTTATTTTGCATGCTTGGCATTGTCTATGATCAAACCAAACTTACAGCTGTGCCATCGCAACCACATCATCGCAACTCCAATTAGGCCTAAATGCAGCTGAACCGGTTGCCAAAGATGCGTGCTTGCATGCCTCGTCCATCGCCCAACTGAACAGTTTAATGTTAAGGTAGGCACAGCATCAGCATCAGCATCAACATCATCATCGGCATCACCATCACCATCGGCCACAACAACGGTCACAGCACCAATAACCAAATGACCTTTAAACACAAACTGCGCTGTCAATAATGCTATATATGACTAAAAGTTGAAGAAGAAGATGAGAAAAAAGTAGCTGCCCGTACACATTTTGTTTTCATTAAAAACGAAGAAGCTACGCCACATGCAAGCTGTCGCATCTTTTTGCGCGTTGGCCGACGCCGGCCCGAAACGAGTTTAGGTGTTGCTACTGGCCGCCACCGTCCCATATCGTCTGGCCCCCACCATCCGTCCATCACCCGTCACCCATCCGCTGCTTCTAAGCCATCATCTGTAGAATTGCAGCGCGTCTGCTTTTGTGTTGTATAGCATTTTGTCTTTGGGCATTTAAAATTAGTTGCATTCTGCATTTATTAATACTTATCTGCAACAAACACAAAATCAACTTCACCTACTGGCAGTCACGCAAAATGCAAAATGCTGCCATATAGCCGTTTAGACATGCTCAAGTAAATTATTAATTTTTTAGCACTTGTCTCCCATGAAGCAATCAATGACTGCCCACGCGCCAAGGCGGTCGAGACATTGACAGCCACCCCATGTTGGGCATACACCGAGATGGAATCGCACTCAACTCCACCAATTGTACTAAAACGACCATTAAGTACACAGTACATATAAAAAATATTAATCCTAATTATAACTTTACAAATGTAGCAGCATTAGCTCAAAGTTTTATTTGCAAAAAGATATTAATAAAGAGGCAAAGCAGTTATAAGCGTCACTCTTTAATCAGTTTCAAAAGACTGAAGTAATAGCTAAGACCTACACACTGAGAAAATCTGAATACGAAATCTAATAAATAAAATCAATCAGATAGATGTTCTGCGGACGAGAAATACCAAACATATATATTTTTGCCTTATTTCAATTATAAAAATGATTATATTTTAGTTATTGTTGAGTAAATGTATAACAATTACAAATGCTATATGCTATATTCAAATTATCGCGAGAAACTGTACAGAAAACTGAATTCAGAGTAATTTTGTTAAAGAATCAAAACATCAATCCGAAATATAGACTTAGTAAGTTTTGATAAAAAATTATCGTTTTCCCTTT